TTTGGAGAAGGATTTTGAGAAGAGCTGCCCAATGCATTAGATGGTAAACGAAAGCTCAAGTTTTCTGTGCTGGAGAATTTCCATGCATTTTCACTCAATACCTTGTCAACTCTACTTCTAAGCTGGCTAACTTGTGATTCCAAAACACTAATCTGGCGGAGTATTTGTTCGGAGGGATTGAGTTCATATCTGGGTAAAAGCCAATGAAGCTCACTCTTAGGCCCAAACCCAAGATTGCCAATATCCTTTTCTGTGAGAAATGTTGCAGAAAAAAGTTTGTATTTTTAGTAAAAATGATAAAGATTACATAGAATTAGCTCCCAAAGAAAGCAAAGGAAAAAAAAACATAACCAGTGGCGAGATCAAGAGCTTGTTTGGTAAGGGTTATTTGGCTGAAAATCCTGAAATGGATTATGCCACTAACTTTTCCAGATGAAAAAACATTTGGTAAAACCACTTTCAGGTTTCAGCCAAAAAGGGACTAAATCTCATAAGCTTCTAACATATAACCAAGTTTGCTGGGATATGGAAACGTCAATAAAGGGCAATATTGGCATTCAAAGAGGGCATAAATCTCACTAGTTTTTTACATGATTATCTAAACATGGAATAGGTGAAAGGGAATTTTGATTTATTTGATATTGAACAATAGGGTTAGCTTGTTGCTCATTATTTGATCCTATCAGAATAAACTTACTTTAACCATTAAAAACACCAATTAGTGTAAAATGACGGCCAGAATCCAGAATCCAAGTTTAGATTCTCTAATTATAGAACAGAAAAGTCTCATGTGATGAAGCAAAGAAGCTGTAGGTTGAAAATTAAGAGCAATATGCATAATCTTTTTGTTCTTCTAAACTTTCAACCAGTGCCTTGGAAAGCTTCATGAAGAATGAAGATACCAAAGAAGATAATGAAAAGTCATTTTGCATATGAAAGAAAACAAAAAATTTACGTTATCAAGAGTTCAAGACAGAATTTCACACCTGTGGGGCCAAAGTCATCATCAATAGAAGCACCCTCAGCAATAGATTTTTTATGTTCTGCAACAAACCATTATCATGTCATGACTCGAAATGTAATACAGAAAGCAGGAAGAATGAAAGGAGGATTTATTTTCACCGTAGTAAGAAAACAAATTGTGACGGGACATATATCCATTTATGTCCTCAGTATCTTCAACTCTTCGTCTTTTCTTTCTCTGTAGAATCCTACTTCTGAGCCTGTTGTTCGGAAATGGAAACGACCTTGCACATAAACCTTCTGCCGTGACATTCTCCAACTGAAAATTGTTACTATGGCTGAAGCATGAAAGTTCTTTGTCATATTTTCGTGCTAGGCATTGGAGCTGCATGACTTGCAATTCAACCCACTTAATACGCCATGATAGGGGTTGTACAAATGTCCTCCAGTGAGAGGTTAATTTTTTCTTCCTGCAAAGGTCAAATGTAACTATGTCAGGTTGTTAGCAGCCATCCAAATTAAAACACTAAGGCTCCATTCCACGGGCAGGATATTGAAGGAGTTTGAGGGCAAGTTTTTGCAGATCTTAGCCTATATACACATAAAAGATTTCATTTATAAAATACTCTGTACAAGATTAACATAGTATGTTATCATATAGCATTTGTACCACCTTTTATTTTGTTTTTAGAAGCATTCAATTTAAAAAGATGTAGACTGTGCCCTCCAATTCAAATTCCTCCAAACATACCCTAAAATCCCTAAATGTGTGAGATAGAGATAGAGACAATTAGATAAAAAAAGAGGTTCTATAGAGAATAGGCAACCGAGAAAGTATGAATCCTTCATTGCCTCATTTAAGCAGAAGCTGTAGGGGAAAGTATTGTTTTAATGGTTAAAGACACGAGGCAGAAAATTGTGCTCTTTTTGGATAGGTGTAAAATGAACGGGAAGGAAGTCAGGTGCTCATCTTTAGTTTCTCTTGTTGGATGAAAAATAAAAATAAAGAAGATAAAGATTATGACTCTTTTTCAAGGAAATGAGAATAACACAATCCCTTTTCAATCAAATATTTTAAATTATTTTTCTTCCCCAAAATGGGAAAAAATGAGATGAAAACTGCACTTCAACGCCTAAGATTACAACATGGAATGATTGGAATCATTCCGTTCCCCTAATTTTCAATGCAGCACCTCCATGGCTCCATTCACACCCCTCTCTATCTCTCCACCTTGTCTTCTCATCAGAAGACATTTTACTTCATTTTCCCAGTCCACCTATTTTCTAACTGTTTTCTCTACCCTGTGCTGTATACTAGTAAACAATAAGATAACACAAAAAGAGATGCTTTGTGTACAATATGGTCCATAACTCTATGTCAATGTCAATGAAGCAAGAACCTGATCTTTACAAATTAAAATGGCCTAACAAAGAACATGCTTCTCTCTAAGGAAAATACAAACAAAAACGCTCAATTTTCTATTGGGTTGTGTTGATTCAAAGGTCACAATTACCAAAATCATTTCTAAAATATAAGGTTCATAAAAATCAAATTTTAGGTTGAATTGAGCTTCAACCTATGCAAAGTATAAACTCTAATGCAGCAGATAAAATGGTCACAGTTTTAAGGATATAAACTCAGGGAGAAAGAAATCACCTCTTCCTGAATTCATCTCCCAACTCTGAAGATACATCACGCCCATTAAAGCACGAGATAACTTCAGCATCATCATTCCCTGTCCAAGAGGCGGAACTGTCGAACGAGCTCGAACTCTCAGTCATGTACCCACATTCTGATTCAACCAGCTCCTTGAAGCCTGAATCTGTGACTTTAAGTATATCAACTTCCAAAGGCTCGATCTTTTGGTCTTCTCTTGCTTTTCCATCAACGCAAGAATGATCGTCGCAGTTCATTTGACACTGAATTTCATTAACATCTAGTTCTTCACTTGCAAATCCATTCTCATTCAAGGCAGAAGCCTCGGAAGAAGCTTCTGGCCCTCCATTGAACCCTAACTCGGGACTCATGTTCAAAATCGACTCATTTTCGGATCAAATCTAAAACTTACGGGAGAAAGAAAAAATCACAAACTGAGAAAGATCAAAGCAAATAAAGCACGCTCTATTACGGATAGAAAGGAAAGGTGAAAATTAAGTTGAAGGCAACAATTTGATGAACGAATGACTCTCTCTTTTTTTTCAAGAACAAAAAAAATAAGGGTTGTTGAACTGTTTTCCTTTCGATGAACGACTTAAAATTCTACAAAGATCGACGGGGACCTTGCAAAACCCGAGGTAATGGATTTTGCTTTCTTCTTTCGGATTGGCCGTGGAATGAGGTCCTCATCGTCGGAGTCGTCTAGGTTGAAGAGAGGTCTTTGTTCCGAAGAGTCGATAGTCTCATCTGACTCAACCTCGGCATATGATCTTTTCTTTAACGATCTGGCATCAGGGTTGTTGAACTGTTTTCCTTTCGGTGAACGACTTAAAATTCTCCAAAGATCGACGGGGACATTGTCTTGGTGTCCGTCGTCTTGATAACGCGCGGTGGCTTGCCGTAGAATATCGGCATTGTTCGTCCCACTCTTCCGGGACCGAGATTTCTCGTAAACTCCAATAAACTTTTAGACTTTATGGTTGAAGTGACACCATTTGGAAGTTTCTCTCGAGTTCTGTAAGAGACGTCCTTGTTCATCGCCACGAAGAACTTCTCCTTGATACAATTTCACATCCTTCGTTTGCTCGAAACCTTTAACAAATATATAATTGAAAGAATTTTTTTTAGTACAGATATATAAAAAATAACATATATACAATATATATTTAAAAATAAATAAAATTTACCAACAAAATGATGCTCGAAGGCATCAACCCAACCGGACGCTAACACCGATTTTTCCTTTGGTGTCCACTTTTAAGTGGAACGTGCCGCCTCCGTCATCAACTTGTCGCCCTTCGGCACCGGAGCACCTCCGAAATCAAAATCAACTTGTGGGGTGCAATTGAAGGAGATGGTAGTGTGTTTGGGTTGGGGCGGGGTGGGGGGGTTTACCGGGGGTTAGAGAAGATAGGAACAGTCAATTTTACGAACAGGACACCGGAGTGTCTCCTGGTCATCCCATGACATGAAATTCCAATGTCTTGGAAACCCCACCGATCATAATAATTTGACAATGATAACCAATGTTGAATATAATACACTTCGTAAATGGAAAGAGCAAGAGAGCTATACCAAGCAAAACTGAACCCACCAAGATAAAAGATACCCGTAAAAAAAAAAGGAGACCAGTAAAGAAAGAAAGAAAACATTTACAAAAAACACAAGAGACAAACTATAAAAAAGAGTAAATTTCATAATTGGTCTTTCATAACGGAGAGTTTTTGCGATTTAGTTTTCTATTATCAAATACTACCTCAATCCCAGTGTATTTGTCCAGTTTAACTTTTTCGAGTCAAACTAGACAAACTTTTAACTCCAATTACTCTCAATATATATTGCATATTAGCATAATGAAATACAATTTTGATAGTTCTTAATACGATAAATCCAATAAAATCATTTTTATGTTAAAATACATTACAATTTTTATTTAATTGAAGCTCAAAGTCTGTCCAGTTTGAGTCAAAAAAATCAAACTGGACAAATACATTGGGATGGAGAAAGTATTACCTATGTGGTCATTCCTTTATGAATACTTTTCCATAAATAGTCTTTTTTGACCTTTTATCATGTTCGTGTTAATTTGAAAACTAAAATTGTAATTTGACATTAATCTTATCTTCAGTAATGCATTATGTTGTCGGTTAGATCAACAACTCAACAATAATGACTAATTATAGAAAAATGCCCATGAAAGAAGGATTCGAAGTACTCCCTCCGTCCCACTCTTTTTGTCCACTTTCATTTTTGCACACCATCCAATGCACTTCTTTAATCCATTTTATCTTGTAATTTGTATATTAAAAAATTATAAAAATTATATATTAATAATCTATATGTTAAGACAAATCAAACAAGATCACACATGACTATTTTTAGACTTACAAACAACTACATATATATATAACCCAAAACAACACATACATTTGCAAAATGCAAAGGTTTTGAACTCTTTTTTCTAACATACCCAATTACTATGATGGCTTCATATGAGAGAAGACACGACGAACGCTCCTTGCTCGGCAAAGGGAGTCGCACGTCCATCATCCTCATCATCCACATCAGCACAACAGTTACTACTACTATAATTATTATTGTTATTATTATTATTATTATTATTATAATCCATCAAACTGTCACTATTCATCAAAGTGTCAACACCTGAGATGGCATTATTTTCTGTGTCGCCGCCACCTCCTCCTAATAGGATATCTAAAGGTAATGTTGTTGTACCTGAATCTTCTTCTTCTTCTTCTTCTTCTTCATGTGATATGAAACTCACATCCAGGATAGGAATACCATAATCCAAACAAGGCACAGAGTGGCGGCCATCTCCCAGCAGGATATCATCTCCTACACCACTGCTTCTTTCTGCAGTCTCTGGTTTAGTCTCTGTTTGGCTTTCCCCCAATATGTGACTTGAACATTTTTCCTCGTTCACCACATGATGTTTGTTAACATCATTCACTGAGGATGTTTGGTCGCTCCCTTGTTCACGAAGCATGTCTTTCAGTTCCTCCAAAGTGAACTTATGAGTTGTGGTTGTGATGCGTGAATCCTCTGTGGCATCATCTCCACCATTTTCCACAGTTTGGGGTTTAATCCCCGTTTGGCTTCCTTCTGATATACAGTTCAGAGATTCCAGATTACCCACTCTAGGATTATTGTCTTTAGAATCAATTAAATCCTCCAATGTGAATTCTGGAGCTGTAATTGTGGTACTTTGGTTATATTTTGAGGGTGGATCCACAAAGGCTTCATCTTTAATACACTCATTTATCGAAACTGGAGCATTTGGAGAATGTTCTAAGGGCCCATCGGCTTCTGCTTGGGATTCTGATGAAGAAACTACAGTTTGTTTATTAGATTCTGAAAGAGAAACAGCAGATGTTGATAAGAACCCAGAAAGTGCTGCAGCCAGAGCATCATCAATCGATATGGTTTTTCTATTTCCTTCTTCAGGGGAATTCTTCGATGGTAGTTTTGCAGCTCCAGACATGCTAAGAAAAAAGTAAAAACGAAAACATCAGAGGAAAATAGGAGAAAATGTGGGAAGGAATAAAAGATAAGCTAAAAACTCTATTAATACATTTTAGATACAGAGTATTTGTTTTGATATCCATTTTACTTACCCCGGAGTATTTATATACAGAGTTTTGTAAATAAAAACTAACCATATTTTACTTTTCTTGGAATTTTGTAGGTAAGACCAACCATAAGAAAATAACATTTCCTGGCAGTTTTAGTTAGCATTGCCTTTATAAAATACTTTTGTACAAAAAAAGGTTAGCATTTCCTTCAATCAAGACATACCCCAAATGCTCCAACTCACGGCTTTGTTCTTCTTCCTCTCCACAAGGGAACTCAGGAGCAGCAATCACAAGACTCGGATGCACACGTGGAGAATTTGCTGAAATTGACGAACAGTCAGTAGAGCTTGACAACTTATCCTCATCAGGACAATCCATTTTGAACTCTGATGCCAAATTAGGAGGTTGGTTGTTTCCGTCATTGTAAAAAGAGCCAAAATTGGAATCAGTGCATGAAAATGAAGGAGCCGTGAATCTTTTGCAAGAAGGAAGTACGGCATATTGAGGGTTCTTTGCAAGAATATCTATCTGCTCCTCTACTCTCTGAAGTCTCACTTCCATGCTGCTTATTGGCTTAAGCATCGATTCTTCAAACCTTAGACAGATTTCTTCAATCCGGTTCACCCTGTCTACAAGTTGTTCTAAAACATTCCCAATCTCTGCTGGTGCATTGTTTTTATCACCAGTGGTCAATTGTTTTGAAGGTTGAGTTTCATGCCCATTGGCTACCATTGAGCTTTGTTCACAGTTAATTCCATTCATGCTACCATCATGCATATCAGTTCTCCGTACAGTAGGTTCCTCATCACCCTTTTTCTGTCTATTATCAGAGGAATGAGTGTCAGCTGTTTGCCTGATGGTTGATTTAGATAATTGCAGAAATGTAGGAATGAGCATTGCCATTAAGGAACTATGGGCTGAGCTTTCTACTGCAGGAATAGGATGATTTTCTGAATCAGTCGAAACAAATGGATCACCAAAGATGTACAACTCATCTAGATATAAGCAATCTTTGCTCTGAAGAGATAAGAAGCGGATTGTGAGGGAAGCGCAAGGTTCCGCATCTCTAATTTCAGCTGTAGCCTCATAAAGATCCTGAAAATGAACAGATAACAAATTATGTCATGGAAATTAAGTTTTAAATGTTTGAGGATTTGAGCCTTGTGCGGCATGAAGGCATCATACCACATGAGGTAGGGTTATTTGGAAGCATACTATCCTCTATATTTATGTTTGAGGCTTTGAGCCTTGTCCGGCATGAAGGCATCAAAGGTCAAGAGGTTATTCCCAAATAACACAAAAATAGTAAGGGGTATTCATAGTATATACCAATTACGTGTTTATTAGAAATTAAATCATCAGTTTGCAGGGACATATTTCACCAAATAAGTAAGAGTTCAGTAATGCTTTCAGGGCCTGGTTATATCACGAAAAATGGCAGCGAAAGGCAAAAATGCTTAGGCAAATGAAACATGAATATTTTCTATTTCAATCTACATATATTCAGGTTTTGATATTGGAATTAGAATGGGCTTGTTATTGTATATGTAGAATTTGAAGTCTTCATATAATAGACACAGATAAATAAAATCAGTATCAAAAACAACTATACCATATATCCCAGTAACTTGGGGAAAAATGAGTATCAACAAATATTTTTAAAAAATCAGGATTCAAATATTTTTTTCAACTATTCCAACCGAATCATCACTTCTATAACAATTGCAAAAAAATGAGACACCAAGCAACAGCCTCTTTTTTTTTTGAAAGGAAGCAACAGCCTCTTGCATCAAAATACATCATGTTGTTTGGTTGAACAGTTTAAAAAAAGAACTTTTTTCCATATTTAAAGCAAGAATAGTATTTTACGGAGTACACCGTATTTCATATCTTTTTCTTTTTTACTTAGCAAAACGATGTCTTTTATAATTCCAGTGAGTAACAATTTAATCATCTTCAAACTTAGGACTTCACGATGAGGAGAGCTGGGTGAGAAAATATATTCAAAACACATGTGAAGCAGTATAAGTCGATAAAATAAAAGTAAATTAAAAGAGAAAAGGACTATAGCTGACAGGATCCGAAGTAGAAAACATTAATAACCAAACCTCGACACCGGTGCCATTACCCACAGTAGATTGATTAACCATCAAATTGATTTCGTTCCCGTCAACAGGAAACCCGGGAACTTTGACATCTACCCATTCCTCTTCACTGTTTGAATCAGTTTTTTCCTTTCCAGTGAATCTCTCTATACGCGGGCCTCCTTTAGTAACATCGATATGATGCTTGGAAGCATCCTCATATTCATTCCCAGCCAAGAGAACTTCTCCTTCTCTTTCAGCCACGCAACAGCGAACTGTACAAAGGTACACATTCTCACCATGCAGAGAAGATGCATAGTATATCTCATACACACGTGCAGTGCTCCGAACATAAACCTGAAGGATTTCATGCTTTCGAGCAAAGCATACTGCAGAAAAAGGGAAACTGCCTTACTGAAAACAAAAAGTGATAAAATTTGGGCAAAGAAAATTGCAGAGAAAAGAAAGCCAGCTTATTATTTAATATGATTGACTTTAAGTAAAGCATTCTGCAGAGAAAAGGAAAGTACATTATTACTGAAAATAAAAATGACAAAATGTGAGCAAAGAATGCTGCAGAGAACAAAAAACTACCATATTATTGAAAATAAACTGATAGATTTTGAGAAAGGCATACCACAGCTAAAGGAAGACTGAAACATTATTGAAAAACCAATGATAAAATTATTTAACCTGTGAAGGGGAAGAATCTTACACTTTTAGAGCAGAATTGAAAGGAGGCTCTTGACTAGAAGAAATGAATGAAACTAATGAAAGTCAATGATTACTACTACACTCACAGACTCACTAAACTTATCAAAACAAAGTAATATTCGTTGATCGCACAATTTACAATCCCTAAAATTCACATTACACCTTATCATACCAAGATACCCATCCCCCCCCCCCTCCCACTTCCATTATACTGAGTATTAAGGATACAGGGAACTGGAAAAAAAACTTGCAAACTATTAACATGGCTTTTGTTCCAGTTAATCAATCACCAAGCTACGGAATGTGCTAAATACATATCATCAGCCCACTTTTTTCAATTAATACGTATGAATCACCTAGTTCCGAGCTAGAGTCACTCAGCAGTTCACTGGTTTAGTGAACCAACTATAAACGATATACAACAAAATTCAATTGCAAGTAGATCAATCAAGTAACAGTCCTAATCATTCTAAAACAAAAGTTAAAATTACATTCCTCATTTCGAACTGAAACTGTGAAACTAATCTATGCAACGCGATCTTCACCTCAAATAGTCATCAACTCCGAAACTTTCATTACATACGGAGTACATCTAATAACCATTAATGGTAGAGAAACATGAGATAAACTTACTTTTGATTTCACAAGGATCGGAATCTGGCGAACGAGGCTTGGCGATAAGAGGCGATTTTGGAGTAGAATCGGGGTCAGTTGGAGGAGAATCAGATGACTCGACGATGACGGCGCTTTCTAGAGAGCCATGAGCAATTAACCAGTTCGTCGTGGAGACGGAGCTCGGCGAACTTCCGCCACTGGAACAGTCGCTGTTGCCGTGATCTTCCCCGTCGGTGGTCGGAGTGGTCGGGACCATCACCATCTTCGCGTTAATTGTGTATGCGTTCGATGCAAGCCAAACACATATCAAGCCCACTCTTATTGTGTCGTACGCAAAAATGAAAGGAAAATGTGTACATACCCCAAACATCCCCACCCCTCCATCACCACACAAAAAAAGCAAAAAAATTTCAAAAAAAAGTAAAAAATAAAAAGAAAATAAAATGAATGGTGTAGAGGCAAGTGATGTACCTTTGGTGTACCCCTAACATATCCCAAAATGAAATTGGTATACTTCACCGCCACTGGTGTGTAGCTTGATTTCCGTCAATTTGTTACTTTCACAGTTCCCCATTAATACTTCAAGTATATATATTTTTTCTTTAGTCACGTTTTCTTTAATTTATTTTTATTATCTATTACTCCGTATCTTTTCTTGGAATTAGATCAACAATAATTTTTATTACTTTCTCTATTCTTAAATATTTGTCATATTTTGCCAATTGAAGTAAAATATCAAGTTTTTCAATTCATTTTATTTGAATATTGGTATTTAAATAAAAAATATCCCAGAATAAAATTTAAATATTTAAGGCCTACATGAAAAATTTTTCGAAATAAGAGATATCAAAAATATTTTATTTTATCAAATAATCAATGAAAAGTACAAATAATCAAAAGTTTTCGTGATTGTTGAAAAAGGAAATGTGACATTCTTTTTGGGACGTATGGAGTATAATTATATCCATATCAGATCAGATAATATCGGAACTTATTCAGTCAGATAAAATAAAGGAGAACACAACTTTCATCTCAATATATTTGGTGGCATTAATCCATGTTGACAACAGGAACCTACATAATAGGGCATCATACTTCGCCTCGTTATTGGATGCCTTAAAGCTGAATCGGATAAAGTAGTACGCTCGAAATCCTTCTGGGGAAATGAGTCCAAATGACCACCACTCCTCCCCCTGAATTTTCACCAGTGGAGGAACTAGACGTGTTGTCGGATTCAGTCGTCTCTGGAGTCAGCTCGTCTTTGGCTGTACACTCGTCCACAAAAAATCCACCAATACTTGCCCTTTAATTGCTAGCCGGGGATGGAATTTCATCTGAAAGGCCCTTAGAAACACAACCCACATAGACATGCGCGAGGGCGCATTCGGGCTCCGCAACAGCGCTTCGATAGGTTTATGAGAGAACACATGCATTAGATGCACTTAAAAGTAGGGTGTTAGTTGTTGCACGATGGACACCAACAACAAAGTCTTTTCGGCTACCGAGTACCTGATCTCAAGTCCTCTTAGTGTCCTGACGTGTAATGCTCCATTCTCCTCTCGGACGAGGATGAGCTCAGGGCTTTGGGTGACACACTTAGGTACAAGTACAAGGTCTCTTCTGCCTCGGGTGTGGATAGTACCAGCGAGAAAAATAGGTAAGACTAGAGTGATTCGAAGGTCAATTGGTAGTCCTCCATCCATACGAACTTTTTGGCCTTTTTCACTCCTTGAAAGAATGAGGCTGCTCGATTGGCCACCTTAGAGAGGAAGAAGATGAGAGCAGTCAACTTGGCGGTGACACACTGCACCTTCTTGAAATGTCGTGGGGCCTCCATGTTAAGGATGGCCACACCTTCTTCGGGTTGGGCTTGATGTCGCACCTAATCACCATGTCCTTGTCCTCATTGCATGAGGTGGAAATGTAACGAGGGACATTCGTCCAGACGCTAGAGACATCTACTCTGGTGCCGATTGAGCCCATTTGTGATGTTAAGGTACTATGTTGAAGTTGTAATTTTTATGTAGGTAGACAATGCAACATCTGGGGGTGCTCTATTTGATTCGGCTAGTAAGTTTTTAGTAACGTTTTAAGGTTGCTATGCTTCCTACTAAGTCCGGTCCTTATGAAATCCATGGGTTGCTGAGAGGCTCTTTTGAGGTTGAAGCCATGTGGTTTTCGATCCGTGGAGCTATACTCTTATACTTTGTAGGCGATGAATGCACTTGGTCAAGGGATAGCTTTTCATTTACTTCTTATTTGGTTCTATTTTAGAATTATGCAAGGTCTACTTGGCCTCCTTGGATTCAATTGTTTTTGTTCACTCTTTGTTGGAGATTGCTCTTGTCTTTGAAGAAGAAGTTTAGTCTCTCTGTGCTAATGTTGTCGTGAATTTTATTTTTGTGTTTGTGACAATTTAACAACATACTTTCTCCGTCCTGCTATATTCGTCCACTTTTAACTTTTAGAACTGTTCATCTAAACACTTTGACTCATCAAATTCTCTCAATGTGTAAGCCTAATTATAGTCATGTGTGATCTTGTTTGATTTGTCTTAACATATAGATTATTAATATATAATTTGTATAATTTTTTAATATACAAATTACAAGATAAAATGGATTAAAGAAGTGTATTTGATGGTGTGTAAAAATGAAAGTGGACAAATACTCTGGGACGAATGGAGTAATAGTTCAAAAAATACAATTTTTAATCTCAATAAAATAACATAGATTGTGTTTGTGACGATTTAACAACAAATGGGAGTATTATTCGATATTTGGAAAAGAGTATCCAATAATTTTTTTCCCCAATTTTTTTCGAAGTTAACTACTCCCTCCGTCCCTGAGTGTTTGTCCACTTTCATTTTTGCACACCATCCAATGCACTTCTTTAATCCATTTTATCTTGTAATTTGTGTATTAAAAAATTATAAAAATTATATATTAATAATCTATATGTTAAGACGAATCAAACAAGATCACATATGACTATTTTTAGGCTTACATATTGAGAGAATTTGATGAGTCAAAGTGCTTAGATGAACAATTTCAAAAGTCAAAAGTGGACAAACACTCAGGGACGGACCAAGTATGCATTTTGGACTCATATTTCCTAATTCCTACCTAAAGGCGGCACCGGCTTTTCGCTCACCAGGAGGCTGGCCCAGGTTGGGTTAACTCGTTAAAGCAATACGGCCGAGTCAATTCGCCACACGCATCGATTCGACTCGCTCCTTGGATTGAGTTTCTGATCCCTTCTTCGCCGTCATCTTCAAAACCCCAATCAACGTTTTCCGCGCTCTGTCTCTCTTGCCCATTTTTTTCTCTCCAGAGAGAGAAAGAGGAAGGGCATAGAAAAAGGCCACATATCCTCTCAATCCGTATCTGGTAAAATCGCAGGGCCGGATCCCCTAATTCCTCGCAAGAATGTCGCACTCAGTGTTCCAGGCTGCTCAAATCGGGCCTTTATACACTCAGAGAGCTCCCGCTTCCAAGAACTTATCGTCACAGAAGCCGCCGTTATTGCACCCCGCCGTTCCCCTTCGCCGGCCGACGCTTCCGCGGGCAGTGGCCGGGAAGTTAAGGAAATCATGTATCAAGGCATCGTCTTCCGTGGTAGACGGAGAGTCGGTTTTAGGTTTGGAGCGTTGTCTTCTGGCTTCGCCGCCGATGGATTCTCCCGATTGCTTGTCGTCAAGTTATTCCTCCGCCTCTACTGTTATGCACGCGCCGGTTATGAAGGGTGGAGGGAAGTTTGGGTCGATGGGTTCTGTTACTTTGGAGAAACCCAAATTGGATTTGAGTCAGAAGAAAAAACAGTCCAGCCCTGAGGTTTTACTTCTTTTCCCGTTTTTCCTGCACTTCTAACTTGTTAAGCAATGGGAAGTAGGTTTATATTTTCCTAGTAGGTTATTGTGTATGATTGTGTAGATTTGAAAGTCTGCTAGAAATGTACGGAGTATTACATGTTTTCATGAATTTGTGAAGAACATTGCTTAAATTTGACAATAATAACAGCTTGCAACTGGAGGCGGAGGTGGAGATATTGGCAAAAACATTTTTCACGGGGGTGGTGATGGTGGTGATGGTGATGGTGATGATGACGATTACATGGATGACTTTGACGATGACAATGAGGGAGATGATGGCGGGTTGTTCAGAAGGCGCCTGATTCTTCAAGAGGTAATTTCTCATATCTCAGAATCATTGCTACATTTCTTCAAGTTTCAAATTATTTGATATGGAGCAATGCAATATATGTAGGGATAAATTGGGTTTCTCATTTTCAAGTATCTTTATGGACCATCTATTGATTTTACATGTGGTATATGAGTGTTTAGTAAATCTTACATCTTGAGAGTACTTTTGGGTGAGTTGAATCAAATTTGAGATTGATATCAGAGTGTGTTCCAATGGCGGGTTGTTGGGTTCCGACCTACGAAATGGGCTGGGATACCCTTGCCTCAGTTTAGGCCCATTTGTTCATTCATTCTTGTTCCAGTTTACTAAATCTAATGTATAACTATGAGTTGAACTTTAGTTTTTGAGGGTCCATTTGGTGTGTTTAACACTTGTGGTTTTCCAGATTTTTGATCGAAAATTTGTGGATGCGGTCTTGAATGAGTGGCAGAAGACAATAATGGATTTACCAGCTGGATTTCGGCAAGCATATGAGATGGTAAAACATCCCTTATTAATTTTTTTGTATTTACTGTAATGGTATTCATTATTATTGCCAAAATATTGATGGGTTGTTTGCATCAGGGTCTGGTCAGTTCAGTACAAATGGTAAGGTTTTTGGCTATTAATGCCAGACCCACCACAGCCAGGTTCATTTCTCGGTCGATTCCTCAGGGACTTTCAAGGGGATTTATTGGCAGGTAATTCTGCAAATTACTAGCTTTAAGTTAATATCTATGTTTACTTCCCGCTGAAGGCAACATCTAACTAGGCCAATCACTTAAAGACGAACACCAAACTCAAGCAGAACTCTCTTAGCTCCTATTTGTCTATCAAATATTCTATCATAATAACTAGGGTCTAGGGAGACACTTTTTTCATAGCTATTGGGATTGACGCTCAATAGTTTGAACAAATATGCCCAGTTTGAGTTATTTTTTTCGTGATGCACTGTTGTCATTCCTCTAACTATCTAATTTTCTTAATATTACTCCCATAAGAATTTGGGCGATTCATCTTGAATCTATTTTTGAATGGTACAGGATGATTGCAGATCCAGCATTTCTGTACAAGCTGCTTTTTGAGCAAGCAGCTACAATTGGGTGTTCAGTTTGGTCTGAGGTTAAAAACCGCAAAGAGAGGTATAGTTTTGCTTCTTATATGCTAAATCTATGTATGGAACCTGGTAAATGACAGGGGAAGGAAAGTAGATGCCAAGGAAAATGATAGTTTAATGTTTTGGTTTACCCTGGAAATACTGTGGAAAGTTGAATTGAATTGGAACTCTATAAAATTTTACATATATTTTTTTTCTTTCTTATAATAAAAATACTCCCTCCATGTCAAAAAGGATTTCCCACTTTGAATTCATAGAGATTAAGGAGAGCATTGGAAAGATATTGAAAAGATGTTGCATAGTGAAAAGTGAATAGTTATAATTTGTTTAGAAGAATGAGAAGTATTTTGGACCATATATTCTTTGTTTAAGAGGGAGAGAGAAATAGTGGGAAAATTATTTTGGGACGAATGAAAAAGAAAAGTGAGATATCCTTTCTGGGACGGAGGTAGTATATAAATAAAACAAGTTAGAACTAATATCTAAAATGGATTTATTGAATATGATCAACCTACACGTTCTTTGGTTTCAAATTTCCCCCCAATTTTTCCCTGCCTCTAAATTTCTCATATATTTTCTCTCCCTATCTTTTTCTAGATTCCAAACCGACCCCAAAGAAAATGAGATACACTAATGATATTTTTACTATTGATGTGAGCTTATGTTGCTTTTATGATCACAATGTGTAGGATAAAGCAAGAGTGGGATCTTGCCCTAGTTAATGTGCTCACAGTTACTGTATGCAATGCTGTCGTGTTTTGGTCTCTCGCTCCATGTCGTTCATATGGAAACACTTTCCGCTTTGATCTACAAAACACTTTGCAAAAGCTCCCGAATAATATATTTGAGAAGAGTTATCCATTAAGAGAATTTGATGTGCAGAAGAGGTTTCAATCATTCTTCTACAAGGCTGCTGAGTTTTGTATGGTTGGATTAACCATGGGTGCTGCTCAAGGTGCTATATCAAATTTTGCTGCCAATAAGAAAAAGGAAAGGTGTGTGGTTATTCTGTTGTTGTCAATCTTGCTGCCAGTAAGAAAAAAATCATGATACAATGATGGGTTAGAGGGACATCTAGTTCAATGAATGTAAGATCACCTTAGATAATAGGATAAAGGGAATGCAAGATTACCTTTGACTAATGGAATGTTGGACTCCTTGTGTCCCATTTCATTGTGCATACTTTGATTGCTCACGGAAATTCAAGAAGTGCAGATTGTATTTGAAATTTACGGAGAGAAGAGAAACATAATGATCTGCATAATGATTTCTATAGATGGAAGGACACAAAATAAATTGGGGCAAACCAAAAAACCATGCATGATAAATTGAGACTGGGATTATCATTTATGTGGTTAAATTGTCAGGGGCCATGTCTGAATATTTTGATAATTTAACCCTGGTAATCTTGCAGTACCTAAGAAACCCAAAGTAATTACATTAACTCTTCCTATGTGGAGGCAATCTAACACCACCAAGGCAATTTGAGATTAACTGAACCAAACATCCCACAAGGTTAAGTTCCATGGAATGTGACTGAGCTTATCAATTACTGTAAATATATTTTTAAACTGCTTTCTTCTGCAGGTTATCTTTGAGTATTCCATCAGTGAGAAACAATGCACTTGGTTATGGGGCATTCTTGGGAGTATATGCAAATCTGCGATATCAGCTGTTGTGTGGCTTTGACCAAGCAATGATGAATTACTTTGATGTTATTGGTGTTCCTCTCTTTTTAAGCACTGCCATGAGGTATATATTTATAATTTATCCATCCAGTTCTCCAACATACTGCACCCATCATAGAATATTTTCCGTCTTCATCTTTTGGTTGCACACAAACATTTCCAGATTTAGGTCATTCCTCTGCTAGTCATGGTGGCTAGTTAACAACAACAAACCTAATAAAATACCACAAGTTTTCTCTAAGGATGGTGTGTGTATGCAGACTTTACCCATACCCTGGAGTAGAGAGGCTGTTCAAGGGACTCTTAACTCAAAGTCTCAAACATAGGAATAGTGGCAAACTAAACATTGTAGCACAAGCAAAGTAAGAGCACAGATCCTCATAGTCAAATCCCCTCAGTTAGGAAGAGTTAAATACTCCTGAATAATGATCCTTAATTTATATTTGTCGTTTTATAACAAAGTTGGACGTGGAGTCCTTAGCAACCCAGAAAATGCTAGGGAAAGATAGTAGTGAAGAAGATAGAGGTGATCAGGTTAAATTTGGAAGGAAATAAATATTGGGAAATCTAAAGAATTACAAGCTCAAACACAATGGGTCAGTTTTAATTATTTCTTCAAACTCATGTCCTTTATATTTTTTTAGTATATTATTGTCTAAGAAATCTATATTTATTTTAAGGTAAACCCAGGTGTAAACAACTGTTATCCTTTCTCTCCAATTTTTTTTGCATTACAAAATGGCTGTAAGAACTTCTAAACTCATAAGAAGTTCTGTTTCTTTTCACTCAATGGAAAATTCATTGGGAAAAAAAATAAAAAAAAGTCTCCAAATTCTCTCCAGTTATGTCAGTAAATTGTCATTGTCATCATACTCATCACCGGTTACAAATGATTTAATTGCATCCAGAGTGATGAATGTGCAAGTGGGTGAGATTTCGAGGCTGGCATGGCTTGGGGTGGAAGCAGACCCACTTGCCCATTCAGACGACCACCTCCTGAAAGCATACAGTAGATCATCGGAAAGCCCTGCCCTGCCATCTTCCAAGTGGCTTACACCCAAGGACGCAATCATATCTGGGCTTGGGCTTCTCGGGATCAAACAGGCCCAAAGCGACGGCGAAACAGCAACCGCACCACCTCCCAAGGCCAGGAGAAAAAGACTAGTCAGGAAAAAGGTAGCAGCAGCATAATAATTTGGACACAAATAGAAAGAAACCCATCAAAATATTCAGTTTTGCACTCTGGCTGGGCTGCATCATCTGTTTATGGCTGGCTGGAAGAGTTTCTTTGAGACTATGAACAAAAACAGGAGCTGATGCCTGACAGTGATCAACTGCTACAATGGTGTACTACTCTGTGAGGGGAGAGATTTTGCTACACATTCTTTTTTGTTGTTGTTGTTGTTGCTGGCTAATCTTTAGTGGTAATTATGAATAACTTTATTTATACAATCATTTCTATCTGCTACAGAGTAATAAAGAAGTGTGCTGTCTTTGTGATTGCTGGGAGCTTATTTTTAGAAAAACAATTGGTGTTAGAATGTGGGTAGAGACTAGAAAAACATACGGAGTAGTTCTTTAAGTGAGTTTGCTCAATTTGACTTTTTTTTTTACTCAAAGTAGTTAAATTTTGTGTTCCAACATAAAAATGATTAGACTAGATTTATTTTATTGAAAACTTTTAAAATGCTATTTCATATAAATATAGTTAAAAATCAACTTGTGGTTTTCTTTCCACTCAATGATCATTTTTGGAGTGGAGTATCACAAGTATTTTCAAAATCTTTTATACGAGACGTTTTAAATTAGGTATTTTTCAAATATTTCCTACTTTATTTCTTTTTTAGTAATGTGGCTCACAAGATTTCTTTTTTATCCAAAAATTACAGAGTAATCTTACACTTTTTATTTTTTAATTTTTTTTAAACTCCATAAAAGTTGGTAACTTTTTTTTTAAGACAAGCAAAATACTCTCCCCATCCAGAAATGAATTTCTCATTTTGGTTTGTAAGGTTTGAGTGAAGTTAATTTTAACTCAAGTATTAAATTTGAATTATAAGTGTAAAGTTATTAGAAAATCATATACTACGTATTTAAAAACTATATAAAAAAGAGTTTTATAAAAAAAGTTAAGACGAATATATTATATTATAAAATAATCCGTAAATAGTGAAAATAACAAAGATAATGAATAAATTTTGAAGTATATGGAAGTAAATAATTTACTCCCTTCTTCCCAAATTAATTTATCTATTTACTATTCACTTTTTTTCTGCAGTTATTTGATAAAATAAAATAATCATGTCACCACTAGTTTTATAGATCTTTTGATGTTGTATTTTATCATGTAATTTTTATTTTTTAATTCTACTCTATTTTTCATATAATATGATTTAAAATAATTTTAGTCAAATATCGTAAATCGTAACACATAATAAAAATTGAAACGGAGGGTGTACTATGTATTACAAAAAATACCAAATATTTTTTTATGGGAGGAAACTCAGGAAAGGAGCACAATTATATTTGAGGACATTTGACCCAATAACAGATACCGGCCCAATTAAAATCCTCAGAACATATTCCCTCCCCCATCTAAATTTTTCGCTCAGCCCTTAAACCTCTCCTCTCCGCCGGCGTTCCCTCCCCTCTCCGCCGTTCTCTCAACTTTGAGTTCCATTTACAGCCACCGCTTCTTCATCTTAAAACCTTATCTCGGATCTCTTCTTTGAAGCAGCTGCAGATTTGAGGTCAGATTCCTGTTTTTCTTTCATATTCGTTTTGATTTAGACATACCACACTGGTTTCTAATCTCAATTCACATGCATATTGAATAATCTGTTCGTTGAGAATTATTTGCTTTAGTTAATTTAGAATTTTTTTGAACTCGTATGATTTAGTAATCCTTAAAATCTGTGGTTTTTATTTCTAAATTTGATGCGTGAGGTGTGTAATTTTTTCCAATCAATTGGAACTAAATTTTAACATAATATGTTAACCACTATTGAGTTGTGAATAGTTTTCTAAATGTTTAGCAGATGCTCCATCAATTCAATTTGCTTTTGTGATACCTCAAAAATTGAATAAATATGGATATTCTTCTTGTCTAGATTCATTCATTTTCATGTATCAAGAAAATTATAATATTAAAATAACAAATGGAGGGAGTGCAGAGTATTATAAATTGGGCTAACACTCTGCATCTTTGGGCAAAGAGTAAATGTTGCAGTTGCTCTCCACAATCATTGATTATGTACTTCTCTAGTTTTTTTTATCAAAACCAATACTCCGTATTTTTTATCCATGTCTGCTAAACGGCGGCATGAGGAATCCATGGAAGAATAATTGTGTGATCCCTCAAATAGGGAAAAAAGACCATAAGTACTCTCTTCTTTTAAACACAAATTAGTGGCATTTTGGATATGGATGGCATTGGGTCAGATTCTACTATATTCCAACCCAACTTTAAACTCGATCGCACGACCCAACTGGACCTGACTCTGGTTTTGACTTGCCCAGTCAGGTTCTCGGGTATTTTAGTATTGTTTACACTATGTTTGGTTCAAGGAATTTGAGACAGAAAAGAGAAGAAAAAGAAATGGAAAAGAAATTTTCATGTTTGGTTATAGAGGAAAAGAAAAGTGGAAGGGAAAAAAATGATATGCTAAAATAAGCTAAGAAGATGGAAAGCACGATTCCTTCCATTTTGTTGAGGAAAATGAGAGAAATTATTTTCTTTTCCTTTCCTTCATAATTTCTTGAACCAAACATAGTGTTAGGATTAGTTACGTTTAGATTCGGGTCGGACTGCCATAGTGACATCCGTAGTTATGGATGAGTTTACTTGTGTGGTAACTACTAACTATTTGGTTGTTTTGGAAAAACATGATATCTATGAATGTCTTGTCTTCTGCTTGGGTTGAAGAATTGAATTTAGGGGCATGCTAGATAATTTTTTCTGTTACACTGTTTGTTAGTTTGTGTTGACCTTTTTGCTGCTACTGCTAGAATTGCATGTTTCTTCAGTTTCAACAGCAGAATAATGCCACAAAAGTTGTAATTTTCAGATTAATGGAAACAAAGAACATTGTTAATAGTGTGTTATATAGATAAATTGGCCTTTCTGATTAAAAAATGCAAAGATTCTGACTGTTGAGCATTTTGGTGCTGTAGTAGGTTTCAAAAATGAGGCCATTGGATGAGAATGAGACCACCCAAGTGTTTGAAAAGCTCTATAAATTTGTGGGCAACAATCTGAAGAACATTGTGGAAAGCCCGTCTCACGAGGGTCCTGACCAGGCTCCAGGTCGGTACTGTTTCCGCCTTCAAAAGAATCGAGTCTACTACGTGTCGGAGTCCATTGTCAAGCGCGCCATCAGCATAAAGAAAGACAACCTCATCTCTTTGGGGACCCAAATTGGTAAATTCACCAAAGGAGACAAGTTCCACCTCACCATCCAGTCCCTCACCTTGCTGGCTGCACACGCCAAACACAAAGTGTGGCTGAAGCCCACGTCCGAGATGAGCTTTCTGTACGGGAACAACGTGTTGAAAGGTGGGGTAGGTAGGATAACAGAGAATGTGGAGGTGAACGACGGGGTTGTGGTGTTCTCAATGTCCGATTTGCCCCTGGGATTTGGGATTGCTGCCAAGAGCACCCAAGATTGTAAGAAGCTGGACCCTAATGCTAATGTGGTGTTGCACCAGGCTGATATCGGCGAGTACTTGCGGATGGAAGATGAGCTTTGAAACTTTGTGGGTTAGTCTTGCTTGTTTGGGGATTCAATTTTATATGCATTATTCCAGCTGGGAAATGATATTTATGGCCATTATAAGTGCTCTGTGCTGTGCTTGGTTGTTCTGTTTTTGGAGACTTTCTGTTTTTTGCATTGGCGTTCCTTTTTTGGAGAGTAGAATTGATGTACTCCGTAGTACTTTTTTCCTGATTAAAATGCATTATGCCTGGTTGAGTTCACTTACCTTATCAATGAAAAAAATGGTTTGTCATAAAAATGTGTAATTTTGATAGTATTATTTTCTAATTTTGCTTTTTATTTATGATAAGGTAAGATATGGTGTGTACGATTGATGACTCATAATTAGAAAATAATGTCAAAGTTATTCATTTTTAGATTGTACTTTTTTGGTCTTTATGGGATGGAGAAAGTATCATCTTAAATTTAGGGTTGAAAAAAGTGTTCAAAACATTACTCTCTTTGTCTTATATTAATGTGTTCACTCTAGTTTAATCAGGTTTAAAAAATATTGAAAAGTGAAAAGTGAGCATAGTTAGAATTTGTTTTAAGAAAATGAAAAAAATTATTGTGGAATAGATAGAAAAGGAATGTGGTAAAATTTTTGGGTGATGAAGGGAACACTATGCAGGGGCGGTTCTAGTGACATGAACCCCCATGTCATCCTATGACATGGACCCCGATTAGGGCATTTACGATGCTCCGTTCAAAAAAATGATTATTCCTATCGCCCTAACTCTCTCGGACTCCCTGCTCGGCCTGAAGCCCTGAACTACCCCGTGCCTCCATCAATTGCATGCCACAAGATTCTAGTTTGGTCTAGTTTATAATTATTTTTTCTATTTTCTCGTCAAGGATGTTACTAGTTGTATATTTGGCTTTGTACTAGTTTTCTGTTGGGCAAGGTTCCCATGACATTGGGAACTAATGTCATGGGGATGACCCAGGGGCGCTCCAGTGCCCCGTTCGTAAAATTGACAGTTCCTACCCCCTAACTCTTCCGGTAAACTCCCTCACCCCGCTCCGATCCGAGCACACCACCCCACCCTCTTTAATTACACCACACAAGTTGATTTTGACTTAGGAGTAAATTGCATATTATGTATGTAATTCGTTCACTAAAATGATAATCCTTTCTTCATACGGAGTATAAAAATTCATGTCTCCTTTTAAAGATATAATTAGATAAATCATATCAACAAATTTCAACCGCATAATTTCTCAACCCCAGTCTTAAAATAATACGGAGTACTATTTTATTTTCAAATTCGTATATAAAAAAATATACAAGTTACATATTTAGAAACTATATAAAAATATTAAAAATAAGCAATGACAAAAATATTAATATATTTTATCAATCATGACGGAACATAGAGTATATGATTAATATACGTTTAAAAAAGAGAAATATTGCGAGAAGTGTTGATGTATCCACTTTCTTAATGGCTATATCCATTTTTTTCACTTAATTTTACTAAATCCACACCACTAACAAATTTATGTTAATGAGTGTTGATTTAGTAAAAATGGGTAAAAGTGTGGATTTAATCATTTAGGGAGTGGATTTTTAGCAATAACCTATTTTAAATGGGAGAATTTATTTCTGACTTGGAAATTTAAGGAAAGGGTAGATTTTTAAACTCTTTTACCGACTTACAGTTTTACCGTTGACGAATCCATTTTACGTCTCTACCCCTGGGAGCAAATGTGTTGGACCTCTACAGACTACAATCCAGAAAGATGGGTTCCGCAGCAGTGCCTTCCAATCCGACGTTTCCTCGTCCACAGGGTCCCACCACCCCCCGCCTCATCGCCAACGCCGCCGTTCTCCGCCTCGGTAATTACCTCCACCGCCGCCTCCGCCTCTCCTGTACACTCCGCTCATCATCAAGGTATCAAAAACTAAGACATCCAACGATGCTTTCCCGGGAGCTTCCATCTATTTCCCCCCTTTTTTTTGCATTTGAATTTGCTGCTTCTAGATGTTCAGTCCGGAAACTGTAGTGTTTATGCTGTACAGAGTATAGGCTATAGATTTGGCGTTCCAGCGTTTAAGGCGCCTCAATTTGATGGTTTGGATCTTCTGGACTGGTCACAGAATGTGCTGCCCGCCACTTGTTGTAAGAGCTTTTCGTTGCTCGGAGGAGATGGAAACCTAAAGCCTTCCAATGAATCTGTTAACTCGTCTCGCAGTTCCGTATCTAACGATCGCAAATTAACTAATCTTCTCATAGGCATTAACATATTGTGAGTGTCATTTTTCTCAGTTGAACTCCAACTTTGAATTCAATTGGTATTAGCAGAGCTTCTGAATTGTTGTTAATCGTAGTTTCTTATTGGTATTGATGATTGCTAGTTAAATTAACCTTGGTCCAATATTGTTAGTAATTTGGTGTGTATTATGATAGCTAGAAAAGTTAAATCTATCTCTCCCTCTACATTGTCATCAGAGCTTATATTGCTCAAATTGGAACAAAAGGGCAACTATTGACTTGGGGAGCTAAGGTTAGAATCATATCAACTTTTTTCATCTTTAAGCAACACGAAGTAGTATGACTCTGGTTAGGGTAGGGAAAGTCTCGGGTAATGGTTAAGATAATGCCGGAATCACCCTTCAAGAGAACGGCTAATGAGTTAGGTAGTTTCTTCATCCTCGCCTACAGAGGGTAATTTTGTCAAGTTTATAGCATTCCTTGAACCTTCTCGGCCCCTTTCCCCACACCTAGCTTAATTCGAGTACTCTAATATGTTTCTATATCAAGGTTTATTTGATACTGTACTGTGTGTATGCATATGATTGCAGGTCAATAGACTAATTGACAAAGGAGAAATATGGAGGTTGCTGACATGTTCATTCATGCATGCAAATGCTGGACATCTCCTGGTATGAATATATCGAACGATTGGTTTTTTGAAGTCGTTGCTGATTTCAGGAGGGAAATAAGTGCTATCACTTCTTTCAGGTCAATTGTTATTCCTTAAATTCAATCGGTCCAGAGGTGGAGAAAAATAGTGGTCCTATAAGATATATTGCTGTTTATATGATCTCAGCACTTGCAAGTAACATACTCTTCCCTATTGTTTTTAAAGAATGTAAGACAGAGTGCCTTGTTTTCTAACAATAACCTCATTATGATTCCTAGTTCATGTTTGACCAGGTTCTACATGTAGTTACTGGTTCAGCAAAGCACCTGCAATTGGTGCTTCTGGAGCCATTTATGGACTGGTGAGCTCTTACTCTTTTCAATTAGAGATTTTCGTGGATTTTTTCAAGTCTTTTTTAAATTCATGATCTTTCATGTTTCATAGTCATGTGACTACTATCAGCTGCCTCTTTCTGTATTGAGTCCACGGAGATGATCTTACCAGTTGTAAACTTTCCTTATTAAAAATACTATTGTTGGGAAAAATCTCAAATAATTTTGTAACCATTTGTATATATAAAAGGACTAACTGATAAGATGAACTTCCATTTATCTGGCAACCTTATCAGGTTGGATCTTTTGCTGTGTTTGTCTTGCGACACAGGGGGATACTCAAGGGAACTGAAGGAAGGCTTAAATATATAGCACAAACAATTGCTCTAAATATGGTATAACATATCATGTCTTTGCAATTAGTTGCTCTTGTAAGTTGTAACATCAATTGACTTGTTCAATCCAGTGCATCTAACCAATGTCTTTCTTGCAGAGTATTGGGCTTTTATCAAAAGGCATTGATAACTGGGGACATGTGAGTTTACCAATATCTGTTTGCTGCCTTATGATCTGCGTCTGTGTGTGTGTGTGTGCAGTTTGAAATCTCAAAATAAAATGAAAATTGATCTCTGTATGAATAAATGACACTCGTTGATAAGCTATTTTGAACAACAAAACATGTGTTCGTGTGTGTTAGTAGGGTGCAGGTTCATGGCACACTTGTTAGCACACTCAATACTTTTCAGGGCCCTATAGTGCTCCGTTGAGCCCAAAATTGTACCCGACCGCCCAGCCCAATCCCGCCACCCTAGCCCTCCCTCCCAACTTGATGCCATCCCGTCTCCTACCACTGTTTACCGTCAGCAAACAGCCCCCCCTCTCCAGCTCCATCCACCCTCTTTTGGCCGACCCACCAACTCGCCCCTTCCCCCACCCACTATCGGGCTCAACGGGGCCCTACCACGTCATTCAAGCAGAAGATAGAAGTCATAAAACTAAGGCTTCTTTGATGGAAGGAGGGAATATATAGAGAAGTAATATTTATACCTTTGGGAAAGTAATCTTTTGAGGAGTAAAGACATATTTCATTGTCTGTTTGGTAGGAATAAAATTTAAATCATTCTGGTGTTTGGTCAACTTTGGAATGGAAAAAGGCACGGGTTGCACTAAGATCTAAATGGAAATAGTTTCTTATTGTGAGATTGTTAGCTATCTATTTGTACAAGCCTATGAGGATACATTTGTCCTCAGTACATCAGCACATGCCCTTTTTCTTCCATGGGGTACTATAGGAAGACTTGTTCATTTATTCTACAATGTTGAGGAAAAGAATCTCCAATGACGGATGGCATCAACCTATGCTTTGTATGTGTGAATTTGTGTGTGTGTGTCTTTTTAAAATAGGTTCTACGCTCCACCAAATAAGCCATAATACAATCTCGTAAAACTCGTGCCTCATAAGTCTGGTTTTTGCTCATATGCCCAATTTGAATCTCTTAATTTGGATTGATACTTTCAGTTAGGAGGGTTAGTGGGAGGAGCTGCGACCGCATGGCTGCTTGGTCCTGCATTGAAACTTGAATACGATGGCAAACAAAGATTCTTGACCGATAAAGCGCCAATTTTCTCTTTCATCAAGGGCAGAAAGAACACACCCTGACTTATATTGAAGTTATTTGTGGGTTTCTTACAGGAAGCTGGTATGGATTATCTCCAATTTGAAACTATTACAATCTATGTTCGGTTCATATGTAGTTTTGCTTTACCTGATACCCGGTCTTGTTTATACAGGGAAATTCTATCGTACACCTTTGGGAATATTGGACATCAACTACAAATCAATGAACACTCGTTTTCCGATAGTAAGCATTTTAACGTACAATGATTGTGTACAAAGTGAACAGTCATTTGTAAGGTATTAATGTGCCTACATTGGTACCATAGAATAACTCTATTTTTATAGGTTTTCTTTGTGTATAATGCATTGGTGTGGATCCTTGTGATATATAAGTTAGGGTTGGAGGACAACCTTTTATAATGGGGTGTTTGCTTGTCATGTTTTAATGCGATCATGTTTTAACTAATTTGTCGTTATATACTTATATCAAGACACCGAGTTTATATTTGTTTCTTAAATCGAGGACACACAAGCGGGTTTTACTTCCTCGGTCTCATCTGCCATTGATATGTTCTTATGTTGATATGATTTCTTTTTAATGGAGTAAACATTGTATAATTAAAATTTATCTTGACTTGAAGAAATAATTTATAATCCCCACCTTTTAACTTTTTTCTTTAAATTAATGTGGAGGCATTTTCACTCTAGGTAATGCCCAACCCCATTGGCATTTTCAATAGGTAATGTGATTCATTTAAAAAGATGTTATGCATTCGACATGAGGGATTATTTGTTTCTCTCTTCTTGCAATCCACTTGAGCTAAGCTATATGCATGTAGGGAGCATTATAAATGAGTCGAATAATTTTAATTTCATTTGTAATTCGAACAATACAAATACAATCCGAATAAGCATTTTGATCTGAATTACATCTGAATTCGAAAGCGTCTATACAAGTAGATTTGATCCAAATAATCTTCGAATATTACATTAGAAATATGAATTCCAAATCCACACACGTAAGTATAGTGCATACACACAACTATATATGCTCCCTTTGAAAACTCTTAGACAAAGAAATCTACTTCGCAATACAGAGTATTTGTTATATTTCATGTTATTTACCAAGTGTTCCTATCACGTTAAAAATATTAAATTTCAAAATTGCTAAGAGCACACCAAAAATTTGAGTATCCCATTTTAATGTACCCATTATTGGATACGGTAAGGTTATCTCGTTGCGGGTGTCATATTATGACACCGGTCGAACTGAAAGCCATATAGAAGCCCTATAGGTCAAATATAGAAAATGTTTGATTATAAAATGTCAAAATCAGACAAATTAGGTCGGGCCAAGGTGGGGTCTTCGTTTGAAATGAGACAATTAATACTTTATTTTGAGACAAGAAATATTTCCAATACTTTTTTCCGCATAATTTTTTATTTAAAAAGTAAGTATATAAATAAAATCCAAAATCAGCATTCAGAACGTATTTTTCAAATACAAACAGACCGCACAATTTCTAATTAAATAAATATGAATACATTATCATTCAAATTAATCTCGAATTCGGATATATTGCATTCAATTCGTTTACAACCGGTGTATACGAAATGTTATACTAACAGATCATCAAAAGTTACCGAGTATATTTACTCAGTATGTAAAAGTGTTCTATAAGTTGACGTATGATTTACAGTTACATTTTTTTACTGAGTATTACGTGACTGAAGTATATTGAAATCTTCTTTCAAACACTTGCATTCACTGCAACAGATTGCAGCAGGAGCAGGGCAATGAGAACCCATTTCTACATTTTACAATTGGGTAATCTCATTGAAAACCCTGGCTGGCATTACTCACTTTTCAAAACAATGGATTGATTGTGTATAAGGTTAGTAGTATAATATTCCCTTAGGGAAAATTTACCCTGCAAGTCTTGTGGAGGTAAACATAGCCATATCTGCATACACACACTTCTGGTTTTGACTTTTCACCTTACCATGGTTAAGTCGGCATGAGAATGAGCTGTCGGCTAACCAGACCATCGGGTAAGGAATATCAAGGAGCCAAGTAAAGTCATAAAGCAAAGCTGAGCGTGGGACCACCCCGTTTGACGTGCTGCAAAATTAAAGCCAAGCCATAAGAAGAATGTGACAGCTGTTAATCCAGTTGCAAGAAGGTGGTGGTACTTGATAGCTACGTTGCAGGAGGATGGGAACAGGGAAACAAACAATTTTTAAATTTTTACATAGGATTTGGGTGTCGGGACATCCTCAAGAACCCAAACATGAATTTTTTGAACACAAAAACAACACTTATTTGAAGCATCTGTGCAATATAACTTCATAGGGCCGATTCAGTAAAAGCCAGAACCAAAACCAGTAAAGCGGGGATAGGAATCAAGACCAGATTATGGCTATGACTGGCATGCAGATAATGTAGCTGATTTGACCAAAAGTTTTTTTATATTAAAAAGTTATTTCACAAAAATTTTTACATAATTTTAAATAAGTGTTTGGTAAAATAGATTTCAACTACTTCAAACTTACTTTGGTGGCAGAGATAAAACAAGTCAAGTGGGCATTATTTATTCAACCTAGTTCATAGAGATAAAAGAAGGGTACATTATTTCTAAGTATTGTGTCAAACTTACATGGAAGAGAGGAAGAGATTGAGGGTGAAGGCGCAAAGCTTTTAGGGTTTCTTTTGACCCGGTGGTCTCCATTGGATCCATGAGATATGGGAGAAGGAGTGGGGGGCATTTCCCGACTCTCACTTCTATGTCGATCATGACTGTGCAAAGGAGACAATTGAGATGGGGATGGTGAAGGAGCTGGTGGTAGTGGCAAAGCTTGTAGTGAATGATTCAAAAGAGAAGAGAGGCTTATTTCCTTAACTTTGCCAAACACAGAGTTATCAAGACCAAGATTCCTTGCTGTCGAACGTGATCCCGTAATGATTTTTGCCAATTCTCTTAATCTTTCCTGAGGAAGACGTCCTGCGTCTGAAACAATTGAAGCTTCAACTGTAACAGGGGATTCCACCGTGGAGCCCTTTTTGTTGTTCACTTGCACAAACACATTCTGGTGGGGGAAAAGAAGAAAGATCAAATATAAAAATATTTTCATTTGATTAAATTTATTTGTCGTTCTTGTTTTTTTTCTCCTTAGAAGTTAGGAGTGTGTGTGTGTGTGATGATGATGATGATAATAATAATAATAATAATAATAATAATAATAACAGTAATAATAATAATAAATAGCAACAACAACAATATAGCCCGCACCCCACCGTTTACGGGCCGGGCCGGGCCGGTTTGCACACTAAAAATAAAGCCCAAACCCAAGCCTGCTTTTTTTGCAGGCCAGACGGGTACTCAGGCCCGTGGGCGGGTCTAATATAGCCAATCACATTTCAAGAATAACTTTTCCTGGCATTTGAGAAGTGAGTACCTCAGAGTGACGGAGGTGTAACCCCGACCTAAGTTGCTCTTTGAAGTCAACAAAATTATTTTTTATTTCACCAATTGAATTGTTGAGAGTAAACTCAAAGAGAATCTGTTGTTGCCAAAATGGAGAGTGGGACTCAGGATTTAAAGTCACTCCCCCTGGAAACTTCAAAATCTGAAAAGAAGATGACTGTCCAAAAACTGAGGCAGGCAAGATCAAATTAGCTTGTTCTAGAAACACTTCGAGAAGAGAAGATCTCAGCAAATTCAAAGACGCTGAATTTATAGGTGTATCAATTGGATCAGAAAGGAAACCAAATGTCACATTGGTATGGTTTGATATTGCATCTGACCGGTGCACATGTAGAACCACAACCTGCAGTTAATTTATCAAATCACTTTTCACATCATTAATAAGAAGCTAGGCATATTTGCATAGAGAATTATACTCACATAACACTCCACCTAAACCTTGTTATAAGACACAATTTAAAAGATTACACAAACCAAGAAAAATAGTTTGTTTTGTAGAGCTCTTTAAAAAAATTACTCCGTATTATGATACTACAATGGAACTAAAAAAAGTCATTATTGAAGATGTTATAGATTTGGATAAATGATGGACTAAATTAAGATGGCACATTATACTTCGGTTGCATTGTCCTTTTTATAAAGTTTTGGGTAGTAAAAGCAACATTGCATGAAGGGTCTAACGCAAACAGCTTTATTTGTTATTTTTAAGGGGTAAATTGCTGATTTTGCCTCCCCAAAGCCAGGAGTTGATTTATACTGGATTTTGTTGTCGTTATTGTTTCCAATTTTAGCTTCTTTTAGTACCTAGTGAATTAATGTTTTTATAAAACAAGCATGAACACATTACTACTAGGGGCAATCAATACAAAATTATAACAAATGCAGCATCATATGGAAAACCTATGCTTTATATATTATATAACAAGGGCCATTGACCTCTTTCAAACAGTTCCCTATCATAAAAGGAAACAGGATATACCTTTGTAAATGGGACTCCTATCTCCCCATATATACTGTACTCAAGTTTAGCAATGTAAGGGATTATCTCTGAAACTGTTTTATTAAGCTTGAACGATGCTTGAACAGATGCTGCAGCAAAGAAAGAGTCAAAGACAGCAATAGATCATATACCAAGTAACCTAATATAACAGGTGAGATCCTTAGCAAGCTAAGGCATCGTTTGGTAACATGCATTGTTTAGTTGGGATTATACTAGGTTGTTTTTTTGGCAACACGCATTGTATATGTAATTAGGTGATAGGTGAGATCATTAGAGAGTATTTGTTTTCAGTTTCTGAACTGAAAAAAATGTTTTTGTTTACAACTTCTGAACTGGATAAAAAGAACACCAACAACTTAGTTGAATCCCACAATAGTAGGATCTGAGGAGATGTGTGCACACATACCTTACCCCTACAGCCCTACTGGATAAAAAATTTAAATTTTTGAACGTTGAAAACTTGCAGATTTTTTTCAGAAGCATGTTTGGTGGTTTGACCATTTCCGCAAGAGGTTTAGAATTTCTGTAAAAATCATACATTTTCAATTTCCATAACCAAAACCCATAATATAAATCATATACTCAAAACATGTTTTATTCTACAAAATATTGTGAGGAAAAGGCATTTATTCAAAAACACGAAATGAGAAAGGTAAGGAAATCTAAATTGATCAACACTAGCTGGTCATTTCGATTTCCAAAGCATCATAAGTGAAACCTTTGATCCAAAGTCCAGTTACACCAAGAAAAACCCTTGAAAATGTTGAGTGACTGACAGATCAAGCAACTCTAACCCAGAAATTCCAAAACATTGAGAATAATCAAAATGCTCATCACAAAGCAACTTCTGAGGACGAATATTATTAATTTCATTTAAATCCGCAAAACCCTAATTTAACACACAACAATTAAATTCCAGTTTCCAACATCAAACAGAAAGCTCAACGAACCCTAGAAAACGAAACAGTGGATGCTAAAACGGCACACAAAAAAAACTTAAGGTGGGAAGAACTCACAGCTGAGCTCGATTGAATCCACCGCATCGTACCCAGATCTGCTGGAATGACGACGAGGCAGAGCCCAGAAAACCGCCGACAGAAAAACGGAGGCGCTCAGCAAGGTGACGAAGAAGCACTTGAAACTGAACCACTGGAAGATTCTAGAAAGGCCCGACGAACCGCCGTCTGCGGCGGACACATTCGGCGGCTGACGGTGATGCAATGGTAGGTTCTGATCGTCGGATTTCCCCATTCACAGAGAGCATCTGGAGCACTGCAGCCTTGCCGCTACTTTTCTTTGCTTTACTTGTCAGCGCGTAATTACAGAGTGCTCCCAAGCTTCTTCTTCTTCTTTCTGAAGCTGACAGATGGATTTACTGTCCACTCCAACTGTCTTAGTGGGCCGGAGTATATATACTCCCACAGTCCCCAACTAATTGTTATGATTTGGAGATTTATGTGAAATTGGATAATACTTGTAACATTTATTCTTGCATAAAATATAAATATTCATTTTAAAATGATGTAGATCTCATTATGAAATAATATAGTACTTATAATTAACGTAGTAACTACATTCACATATTTGCTTAGTATAATTATAACATTCAATTATATATAACGTAGTGTTTATTTTGAAACACAGATGTGCTCATTCTCAATTAACGCATTACCCATTCTCAACTAATCTACAGTTCATTCCCTTCATATTTTCAAAATATAGTCCGATTAATCTTATCATCATCATCATAGCATCTCACTGCTGCAAAATCGACAAGACATCTTCATCACCATAGCCCGCAGTTAGAGGTTCCTCAGTTGCGTTCATCATCCATCTTCATCGATCTCGTCGTGCTTCCTTGATCTCGCAGTCGTGCTTCCTTGATATCACCATATCGACACAAGAAGGTCGGATCTCTGCTCTTCTCCCTAAATTGTGCGGTCTCCTTAGCAGTTGCACAATAAAAATTGGGTTGGGTTTGCTCTTTATATCCAAATCACACAATAGATTTCACATAAAATTTAAGCCGATTGCACGGTAAGGACTATACAGTATAATTTGCGTGATTTGGAAGGCATTGTTACTTAAAATTTGGTTAGAAAAAAATGTTTTGTAAACTTACTTTGTTAAGTAAAAATTACAATAATTATTTTAAGACAGATTAAAACAAAAAACAGAATGATTTTTTATGACGGGAGGTTTTTATGACGGAAGAAATAACTTTTTCATTTATTTAGGATCTATTTATTTGGATAGAAAAATTAATTTCATATTTTTTAAAGTTTCTTCTAATTTTTTTCCAATTTCTTCCGATTTTTTTCTAGTTTCTTTTAACTCTTTCTAATTTTTCAAATGACTAAAAATATGTTAAATATAATGAATAATTACCACACATTTACAGAGCCAGATACATAATGATTGCACATTTGGAGGGGACTCATAGGTGAGCGTAGGGAGGCAAGAATGAGGGGTTAGTGGGATAAGAGAGTAAAAATCATCAATTTTATAAGAGCAGTGCTAGGGGTACACCAAAGGTGTACCCCAATTATACACCACATGCTTCTCCACCACACATCTTTATTTGATTTTTATTTTTTTAATTTTTTTGAATCTCTTGCCAATTATTGTGGACGAGGGGGTGTGGGATAATTGGAGTACACCTTTTGGTGTACCCCTAGCATTTTTCATTTTATAAAAGACATGGGATGTGTTCTAAAAATACAGCAACACTGGTAGGGGCATCATTGGCTAGTGTCAACGAGATCTCACTTATTCTCCTATAAATTTTTTGAATTAGGTTAAAGTTCGTATATTTTAATGACATTTCTTTTCATATAGTAGTTCTCCCTTCCATTTCGTTGTTGGAAATATAATGAGATTAAACATCCATGCTATTTTAGTACATGTTCATGCTATTTTAGTAGATTTTAAAACGAGATTCTCAAATAATTTCTAGACTTCTTTCACTTTTTCTTTTGTAGACATAAATTAAGATTATTTTCTCATCCACTCTCTTCTTTCTTTAGGTATAAAATAAAATTATTTTCAACCCACCAAGTTCAAATTGAAAAAATTATCAAACTGGCTTGCCTGAATTTTTAAAACAATAATATATTTTCAAAAGCCAAGTCTTTTATCAAATATCTACTCCCTTGTTTATTAAGTCATCAATAATGAATAAGTTTTGTATTTTATTATATATTTCCAATTCCATTACCGACGCTGGCATTTCTTGTTTTTAAATGCAAGACAATTACATAAACTACTTGAGATTGGTCCAGTTATGATTTGACGTAAAAAGGAAAACGAGAAAAAATTGACATAAATATTGCTCACCCGAGCTTAATTACTCATTTACTCCATCCATCTCATGTCATTCTTTATAGTTGTAATTATGGCCTCTCGCTAACTTATATTTATATGCATGTTTTCAATTATTATTTGTGTATATAAAATAGTATTGTCACTTTATTTTTAAGTTTTTTATATAGTTTTGAAAGGTGTAACTTACTTCTTTTATTTATATATCAATTTGCAAATAAAATTATTTTTAAAAAATAAGATCTTGCACAATGTTCAAAATTAGAAGAGAGATCACTTAAACAAAAACATCAAATCTTCCCAAACATCATATCTAACTATTTGACAGATCACATCTATCATTTGTAGTCAAAGATTCTGAGTTGTTGTGTGCCTTTGACCATGAACGACATCCACCACAAATCATAATGTGTGTCCCATCCTATTTTATAGTGTTTGTTTTGATTTATAATGTTTGAATGAATTTATTTTTAATTTAATTAAAAAAATGTTACATATTTAAAAATTACATTAAAATCGTTTCAAAACAAGAAGTCATAACACTCATATGGTTATATTATTTAGAAATCATCCTAAATAGGACTAAAACATAGAGAAAAGCACCAAAATAAGATTTTCATGTTTTTTTCTCAGAATAGGACTTTGCACTGTGGTAATGTGACTTTGCATTGTGGTAATGTGGCAGTGTACATGTGCAAATTACTATACTTTTTTGGTAATGTATATGACCATGTTTGGTAATATAAGTCCTATTTCGGGAATAAAAACATGAAGATCCTATTTTGATATATTTTCAATGTTTTAGTCCTAATTTGGTCTTTCTCCCTATATTATTTTATGAAATAAGTAATAAAAATAATTAAAGAAACTGAACAAAATTTGATACTACAAATAGTAGGTTTAATTTAAATAGTAAGTTTAATTTGGGAAAGAGGGAGTATTAAAGAGAATTTAAATCCTTGTTAGCATTGACTTGGTTCATTTAAAACCAGCACTGAGTGTCATAATATGACATTGCTGTTATTTGAGAGGTTACAATGCTTTATTAGATGCAAAACCAAAGAATCTAGTGTGGGGTGCAAGGGGAAGGAGAAGAGGTGGGTGGGACCTATCAAGCCACTATGTTTTTATTAGGGTATGAAACAGAAAGACTATAAGCATCCATCTGGATTTACATCTACCAAAAAATAGACTCAATCTGAGTTGCCAAATTCCTTTCATGCATTAAGTCTAAGCAAAACAGAGATAGAGATGTCAAATCCTTCCATTCATTCCCCCATTTCAAGCAAAATGCAGAGTTTTACTTACTCCACTCATCATCCCCTGCAGTTGGAGAATCTGAACAAAGGAGGTTTCTAGTCATGATCATCATCAAAAACTCCAATCCTCCCGTGGAAACGCGAGATTCGGAAAGAAACCCCCTAAATCAGCTTCTTCTTTTGGAAGAATTGCTTCAGATACGTGATTTGAAGAAACGAAACCCCAATGCAGACGCCCAAAGACATGAGACTGAACCAAGCAACTCGCGCGTTTGTCGTCTCGCTCACAGTTCGCATCTCTGCTTCTCTGGACGCAGCGTAAGAAAGCTTTTAGGAAGAGGATTTAGAGGGAAGGTCTGTGATGGATATCGAAATGGAACGATGGATTACCTGCTCTTTAAATATAGTAGATTTTCGTGGATGGCCTCTACTGCGCCTTCAAGCTTTCTCAACTCGAGTTCTACACCCTGTTAGACATGAAAGAAAAATGAACATACAAACATAATTGACACAACCAATCTCAAGATATGACTGCTTCCTAAATTTGACTATGCTGAAGTCACCCAAGCCATGGTCAAAAAGAAAATATACACAATATGTTGGCATTCAAGGTGCTATGGACTATGGAGCATAAAAAGTTTCCCAAGCCACTGGAGAATGCCAAGTAATTTTCTCATGCTTGTTTTACCTCAGAAAATGCAAAGAAAACATACAATAAAATTTATGTTTTTTAAAGAAATTTACAAATGTATGTCGTGATATACTACTGTAGAAATTTAAAAACAAGTTTGAACTCCGAGCATGAGCAGAACTTCAGTGATATTAGAGGGCACATGAGTAGAGATTGAAAGTAAAACAGGAGGATGTTGCGGTAGACATGTGCCCTGACCATGTTTGGCCGAAATACCAAATGTGGTCTTTTGGCAAAGAATTAGGAGATGAACCTATAATTGATAAAGTACAATATGACAAAGTAAGATGATGATAGGATTTTAGATTCCTTCTGGGGTTTATGTATTGGGGGTTGCGGTCTCTCTTGCCCAAGTAGTTAGGTGGGTGCATTGGGTAGACATTAATGATACTTCATTTTTACAAAAAGCGGGGTAAAAAGAAACAAAAAATAGTAGGATTGAGGGAATATTGTTTTATTTTACCCAAACAGCCCCAAAGGATTAGTTATAATGCAAATGCAATATTTTGATTTTAACCAGAAATACCATCTAGTCCACATATTTTGCATGGTGTGACAAACAACCAGGACCTCCAAAAAGAAAAGTAAGAAACTAACAACACCACCACCACCAACAACAACAACCCAATGTCCCAATATAATCCCAACTCCGTTGGGATCTGGGGGGGGGGATCAAGATATATGTAGTCTTGCCCCTGTAAAAATAGAGAGGTTGTTTCCGTTAGGCCCTAGCCGCATTGTTTCATTTATTGGCCAAAGCTTCATAGAAACTAGGAAGCAAGGGAAGTTTAATGTTCCTTTTTAATTTAGTCCATTATGTGCCCAAAACTAAAACATTGTCAATAATGACTCTTTTAGCTTCATTGGCAATGGATGACCCAGAAAAAAAACTGTGAACAAACAAATAAATGCATTAAGTTAGGATGCCACCTCTATTTTCTCCTTTCTTGCAACTGACTCCCAGTCCTTCGCAGCAATTCCAGTTTTCCAATCAAGGTTTACACTTAAACTCCCACCACTAGGGTTATGTCCATCAACCCAAAAACAAGCTAGATAGTTGCCAGCCTCTGTGGTTGTGAAAGCAAACTGACCATGTGTCACATTCTCATGCTGATGAAGGTTGTTTCCATATGGTGATGTTACCTACAACAAAAGAATAGATGACACAAAAAATAAAAAGAACATAAAGAGGCGCAGTTTCTACAGCAATATCAACCAAGAAAGTTACATAGAAGCCAAAGTGTTAACAAGCCTCTATGAGAGAGAAGTAAAGTATTTTAGTTTTTAGAAGTTGTAACCCTCAAACTCAATTTAGCCACCAACGCTTGAGACAATTTTGTACTCCGTATAATACAAATTCATACTATCCCACTATTCTTTAATTTAATCTGTGTGTATCTATCTTACCTTCGTGGAAAGAGAAAGAATTCACTTTTCCAACACCCACACTCCTCTAAAACAAGTTATGCTTCATTGTGTTTGATCAATGAGGGCAATTTGTAACGTAACATGTCAAACAATTGCCAAAAAAAGAGTCATAGACAAGCTACAACAATAACAACAAACCCAGTAAATCCAGCAAGAAGTAGGCTCTGAGGTATGACAAAATTAGTTTTACCTTTAACCTAAAAATATGTGTGATTCATGGTTTATAATAGTTGCCTTATCAAAATTAAAAGACACGAGCAATATCTTGGTCACACTTGTGTTTCAGCAGTTTCTAACCCCTTGTCAGATCTCCAAATGCCATTCTTTATAAACTTTCTTTTCTTTAGGTTTCTCTTTTGTGGGAAGAAGGTGGATTTGTCACGTAGTTGCCAATTTCTATACCATCAAATCGACATGGTGAATTGCCTCACAAAATTTGCAATTCTACTGGTTCATGGTATATTGGCTGTCTAATAATGTAAATACTATCTTAAAAGCAAGAGTACTCCAAAGATATATTGGTGCTTGATAAATCAAGAACGCATCACCCGGACTCTTTTGAGTTTAGGCAAACATTCATTAGTTGTACACTATCCAAATTGTTGGAGAAAGAGCATACAAATTAGGTAAAAGCAAAAATATAGTCCTTAAACAGTCACACTAATTGAAACCACACAACCTTTTCTCACAAATTACATAGAATCTGACAATCAATAGCAGACAAAGACTTTATTCAAAAATAACAAAGACAGTTTCAAAGTAGAACGAGAAAAATACATTAAGAAACAAATCACATCAATATTTAGAAAGCCAAAATGTTGAGGCAGCAACATACAGATAAGATAACAACAACAAACCTAGTACAATCCTACAGCTACAAGACAATAGGGTCTGTGAGAATGTGAATGCAAACATTACCCCTACTTAGAATTAGAAAGACTATTTCCAAGAGACCCCTGGCTCAACACAAGAACAAATAAAGTAAACACGACACTAGACTCAAAGCACAAAAGGCACACATGCACAAGCTACAAACTTGAACCACGATGCAAACAACAGCAGCAAAAATTACAAATTAAGACCCAAATTCCAAAAATATGCCCAAATTACTCTGATCTTAGCTCTCCATGCGCTCTAATCTAAGACCATATACCCCGTCAGGTCCTGAATCCGTAATTCCTGTCTAAGTCCAGCTCTTCCTAGTTTACCTATATCCTACTCGCACCCACTACCACAAGTCTCTTGCACTTACTCAATGGGACCACTGCATCCTACCTTCATGCAGCTTATCTTGACACTCATCCATTCCTCCGAATAACCTCGTTCTAGATCTTATTCATCCTCGTGTAACCACGCACCCACCTAAGCATACTCATCCGTGACACTTGAAACTAACGAACAAAACGAAATTATAGTCCTCACAAGTCTCACACTACTTGAAACCACAAAACTCTTTAGCCACAAAGTATGTACAATCTGACAAGTAGAACCAGGGAGATACAAAAAGAATCACATCACAGCCAAACTTCTTCTCGAAATCACACCAAGCTAGCAACAGATGAATAAATCTAGGTCATACTACGAAGTGAAGAGATGCTCAGATGCATACACACTACACTGGGATATTTTCTGAAAGGAATTTTTAAAAAAAACACAGACCGACCTTGACGGAGATGGTGGGAGTGGGATGAACATGATCGTCGGAGATGACGACGTAGTCCGCCAAAACGACGACGTTGTTGTGGATTTCCTCCGATACACATTTGGTTCCGCTCCCGGGAAGGCTCAGCCATATGGCTTCGCCTTTCTCGAACAATACGGACATCGCCATCAATGGCAGCGCCCACATCGCCCATCGATATCGATCCAAGCTCGACTCTTCCACCATCATTTCCTCCTCGGAATTCAGCCCGGATACTTTCACACAACAGTATGTATATGTGAGTGTTTCTGCAAAATAATCTGCAAGTCTCTGTGAGATCGAAGAGTTCCTCGTTTCTTAGGAGTGAATTTTTCTGCTGAAGAAACAGAATTTCGGGAAATCGGAATCGCGTTAACGCTGGTTGGGCCTTCTCGTTTTAAACACTCTCGTTTTATCGAGCACAAAAAATTACGGAGCATACGGGGAATAGTAGAACTCGGTTCATTTATGAGATTGAACTTATATAAAAGTAAATCTAACTACTTGGTGAGGCTTTTTTTGAGAGGGAGAAAGTACATTAATTGATCAAGAATTGTTCTTTTAATCACGCGGACTATAGTACCAAGAGCCACAAATATCACAACTCCCCGTTAAAGATTTGACGCGGCTCTCCCCCCTAATCAATATTTTTGGTCCTAGTCTTTGTGCTCATCACTGCTCCCGTCGCAGTGAAGACATCTGCACTCTCCTTCGAATCCACTGTTATTTGTTGTACCAGGTTGATTGTTACCGACGGAAGTGACTCTACTTTCCCATGAAGTAATGTTTCTTGCTTCACATAGAGCCCAAATGCCCCCTGCCACCAATTGAAGTTTTAGATTAGAAGAATTGAAAGCAATACTTTGAAGCGAGGTTGCAAATGAATCCCCTTGAGTAATGATTCTTACCCTTCTCATAATATGCCAAACAGAACCAATATAATGTCAATGCAATAAAAAATGAATTAATGTTTCACCAAGATCTCCACATGCAATGGTTTCGACGGGAGGGCTGCACTGGTTGAGAGAATTTCTTGTAAAGCTCACCAAAAACAAACTTTAACTTTTCAGAACTACAAGTAAACGTCATATATGCCCCCAATCAGAGAAACCAGAGACAACATGGCTTGTTTAGAGAGGTATTGGTATCCCTCCTCCACAACATATTCTCCAAGAGCCCTTCCCAATACGACTCATCCTTTCGATACAAACTTATTGGGATCTGTAAAATTATGGTCACCACTTATCTAAAGGTTTTGTTTGTACGCGAAATTATGAAATTAAAATTAGAGTCTTCAAGTTTAATTTGTTATTTGGTTACACCGAAATATATGGATTTTGAATTGAATTTTAATTTTAAATTTTCACATTATATACTATTTTGTACTCCGTATTATCAAATAAAGAATTTGGATTATAACATAATTTTATATCAATTCATTAATTATATCAAATAAATTAAAGGATTTAAAATTGAACTAAAATTTAGTCTCATCCATTTCAATTTCATAAAATTTCAATTCAGTTTTGTACCAAACGGATCCAAAAAAGAATCCGAAATTGATATTTTCAAGTGTCACAATTTTTTCTAGAGAGTATTTTTTATTTTTCTTATTCCTTCTAGGGAGTATTAATATATCCTAAAATTAGAAGATGTCAATATTCCGATTTATCTCTCCTAACTGTTTATCACTCCACTATTGACTACCACTACTACAACGACCACCCACGTTGTTAGGCACTCCAACCTACCAAACTTTACCCCCAATCCCTGAGCCCGGCCCAATCGAGACACAAGCCGCACTTCTCGAATTATGATTTATTTGTATCTTTTTATTGATTATTCAATAAAATAAAATATTATTATCATCTCTTGTTTTTTAGAATTTTAGGTGTAATTTATTAATATGTACTCCGGGTAATTTTTATTTCGAATTCATGCACTAATTGAAAATAAAAGTATTTTAAGAATCATGAGATTTTACATCATAATTTCCATTAAAATATAGAGGAAGGGATTAACTTTAATTAGATAGAGATGGAATAACATGAACAAGCTCTAGTGCTCTACGTTGGGAGGGAGGCAGTCGTACGTCATAGTTGATTTTAAATTCTAGGGTTTCTTTCTGCGCCATACGCAGATCAATTGCATCGTCGTCGTGACAGCCCAATTTCAATACAGATTCTCGATTCACGTGTGTTTATTCAGGTAGATTACGTTTCTAATTGTTTTGGAATTTTGTTATGGCAATTGCAGGCGGAAAATTTAATCCTTGGATGTTTCCTGTTTACATCCAGTTATTATCGGATTCGGTTGGGCAGTAGGGAGTAGATATGGCTAGGGATTGGGATATGTCGAAGTCACCGGCGTATAGGAGGTATTCCCGGTCTCCTTCTCCGGTGGGGCACAGATCTAGCCACCGAAGCCGTCGGGAGAGAATTCGATCTCCGTATTCGCGTAGCAGGTGATACCCGATTGCTCACATAGTAGCTCTGTACGGTTGATATAGTATCATTTGATTATGTGAATTCATCCTGAGCAGCACTTCTGGAGCAGATCACTCTTGCTAGGCTAATGAAACTCACTTTTGTTTTTGTTTTGATCCAGTAACAGTCCAAGCCACTCATACTTTTATGGTTATCAACAGTGTTGTTATATATGATATTCTTTTTGTTGAAGGACTTTCTGTTTTGATGAGGCAAATTAAATTAGCCCATCACAGCCAAGTGTGTTTGTTTGGTGCACCTTGGGTCATATCATTTTTGTAGACCTTTTCACATAATTTTTTTAAAAAATTAATGCTTATTTAACTAGTAAAGAAATTCCTTCTTTTGCTTATATATAGGACTATAGGTCCATGGTGGACCTTAGGTCCACTATAGAATTTCCCCACAGGCCATGACTTCAGGCTTGTGCTTATACCGATGAAAACTTATGTTTTTTTATAATGAAAACTTATGTTAAAGGATCTCATTATTATNTTATATATGATATTCTTTTTGTTGAAGGACTTTCTGTTTTGATGAGGCAAATTAAATTAGCCCATCACAGCCAAGTGTGTTTGTTTGGTGCACCTTGGGTCATATCATTTTTGTAGACCTTTTCACATAATTTTTTTAAAAAATTAATGCTTATTTAACTAGTAAAGAAATTCCTTCTTTTGCTTATATATAGGACTATAGGTCCATGGTGGACCTTAGGTCCACTATAGAATTTCCCCACAGGCCATGACTTCAGGCTTGTGCTTATACCGATGAAAACTTATGTTTTTTTATAATGAAAACTTATGTTAAAGGATCTCATTATTATCTACTTCCTCTGCCAGTAAACAAATTCATAAATTGACTTCACAAAGTTTAAAAAAAGTGTTGGAAACTGGAAAGTGTTTGGTTGGAATTTGGTTAGAAGAGAGAAATGTTATAAGCCACATACTCTTTTCCTTAGAAGAAAATGGTAGAAGTGTCAATTTAATAATGTTAGCATGGTCCAAAAAGCAAAGCTTAAAATGCAAATTTGTTTTTGGGTCAGAGAGAGAACATAACACGTCTTTGGGAGTTTGAATGTTGAGACGGGGTTTGTTTTACAGTTTTTTTTGGGGAGACAAGTCTTTAGGATTTATCATCTATTTTTTCTACAAGGTGAGATGATTGTTGAGTGTAGGGTAGAGAGAGTCTTTATAAATGTAAATGGGCAACATGGTTTTCTTCTTCTTAGAAATTAAAACAACAGTACACTTCATTTCATTGGGAAGCAATCAGATGATGAGTGCCGATTGGTTGACATATTCAGTCCCATATGATTAAAAGGTGCAGCTCATTGTTAATTCTTGTCAATCCAAAAGGTAAATGTTTTTGCCTTTGTTATTCAGTTTTGCTGGTCCTGCTGGTTGAGATGAGACATATGTGATGAATGAAACTTGTACTCTTATTCACATTGTCATTGTTGCTCAAGCTGTCTATGTTATACAGAAAAAGAAGCCGTTCATTGTCACCAAGACGTCACAAAAGTCGTTCACCAACATCAAAGCGCCATAGAAGACAAAGAAGTAAGAGCATATCGTTGTCACCTATTGGAAAACCTCCCAGATCAAGTACTGGATTAAAAGAGCAGAAGGATGATAGTGAAATGCTAAGAAAATTGGAACAGGAAAAGAAAAGGTATATGTATAGTTTTATATCCTTCTCTTCCTTTTTTTCTTACATTTTTCTTTAAGCAGTTATGTGCTTTTATTTCTAAACTAGGGTGATGGATTGGATGTTTAAGGATTTCCTTGTTTGGAATCAGTTGTGCATATACTTCATCAATTTTTTTTATCATACATGTGTAAAACCAAAAGAGTAATGCATGTCCTGTAATTGATTAACTGATTTTTCACCTTTTGCTGGTCAACTATTGAGTGACGTGGTACCCCAGCTGCTATAAACATATAGGCTGAATATGAGAATGCCCATGCTATTCCTTCTAAGGCTCAATTGTCTTTGTGTATGTTTGGGACCAGTTTAGCTTAACTTACAATAAAGATGGTCCCTTTGCAGTTTTGGTTGATTAGTAGTAAAGTCATTATCTTTGAGTGCCATTTTTGTTTCATATTTTTTTCTGATTTTCTTCAACCTACAACTGCTATTAATCTTATTTAATTTTTTTGTACCTTAATCTGTTTCCCTCTCCCTAGTGTGATGCTTGGGCTAAGGGGCAATTATAAGATTATTTACCTAATGTAGAAGTGCAGTCTAGAATACTGTCTATGGTAAGAACCCTATGATACATGTGGATATAAAATACTCCATAAACAAATAAAATTAGTACTTTAAAAATCTTAAAATCAAATTCCTAGAATCAGTCGGACACTTGTCAAAATTTTATTTCAATGGCAGTCAGTCGTCTTTTCTGTTCTGCTCTATGCATCTGTGGGAAGTCAGGCTTGTAAATTGCAGTTGTTGATGACTTGATGCTCAAGTCGTCATTTTGGCCTGGCCATTATCAATTCCTTTCAACATGTACTTTGGGTCCTCCAAAAAAATCTACAGATATTCCTGTTATAATGCTCACTGCCAAGGAAACACAATCTTGTTTATTGAATGATCTATGCTTAAGTCAATATAATGAAAAAATTGGTCATATTTTAACAATAAGAATTTGTTTTTCACAATTCTATCTTAACACAAGGCTTGAAGTATGTGATTACCTTCAAAACTGCAACAGGTTACTTTGAATTCTTCTCCACAGGCTTAATTGAAGGAAGTTACTGCTATATTCAACTTGTTATGTTTGATGATCAATTTGGATGCTTCGTTTACAGTTTATCTACTGTTCACCAAGTTTGATACTCATCTGTTTCTACAGAATTCAGTTAAGAGGTATGCTATAAAGCATAAGCATATCTATTTAGTGCCTATGTCATATGGAGGTTAGTTTGTCATCCATTTTAGTTATACATATCAAGGAAAAGGTGTGGTTATTTTTTTTGAAAACTCAAGTCAAAGCTCCTTAAGTATTGTTACTGCTACGTTGTTTTAAGAAACATTAGAATTTTCGGGAATATGATGAAATGGAATTAGGTGTTTTCTGCATCACTGGCCATTCTTTTGTCTGATATTGCCATCTTTTTTTAACAGGCGCCAGCATGAAGCAGAACTGAAATTAGTAGAAGAAGAAACAACGAAGAGGGTTGAAGAGGCAATTCAGAAAAAAGTTGAAGAGAAATTGAACTCTGCCTACATGAAGCTTGAAATTGATAAGCGACTTTCAGAAGGTCGGAAGAAGCTTGTCATTGAGGTTGCGGCTCAGCTTCAAAAGGAGCGGGAAGCTGCAGTTATCATGGCAAAACAAAAGGAGGCAAGTTCCTTTGTCAGTGTAAAAAAAGAATTTGCAATGATACCCAAAAGTGTAATGCTACTTTAACATCAAGGATGACACCACCAGACATAGACAATCTCGCATAGAGAGTCATTGTTTGTGAGACACCGGCGGTATCCTCCTCGGTGTTATTCATGATTGGAGCATAACCCTGCCCAAAATGGTGCAACCCACAGAGTCTCTCTTTTTTGCCTTAGGGTTTGTTTGGAGGAGGACTTTGGAGTACTTGATCTATATCTTGGAAAATAGAAATTTTTCTCGAAATGAGTACATGGTGAACAAAAAGCTATAAAACCATATTCTTTCAACCTTAAAGAACCTCAAATATACTTTTGTATATCACAGTATAGGTTAAGTACTCCAATGGCTAAAACCCTCTACCAAAAGAACACTTGAATGCCCAGGGTTCAAATCCACCTCTATGCAAAAAGCCACTTCGGGGTTTAGTTTGTACGGGTCGAGGAATTCAATACCCACCTGAGAGCCAGAGCCCTAGTTCATGGTGGGCCCCACAGGCTTGCCGATCAGACTAGACAGTGTGTGTCCAGGGATCAATACAAGCAGAGGTTCCATATTTGCGAATTCCTTTCTTGAGGAAGAAAGAATTTGTAATGGTGAGAGGATTTACACGGTTTAATATCCATTTGTTCAGGAGCAAGCCAGGAAGGAGGCCGAGGAAATGGATAAGATGCTTGAAGAGAAGAGGATGAAGATCGAAGAAGCTCAGAGAAGGGAAGCTTTGGAGCAGCAGAGGATAGAGGAGGAACGGTATAGGGAACTGGAGGAGCTTCAAAGACAGAAAGAGGAGGCTATGCGAAGGAAGAAACAGGAAGAAGAGGAAGAACGCGCCAAACAAATGAAGCTGTTGGGCAAGAACAAATCTCGCCCAAAGTTGTCTTTTGCTTTCGGGTTAAAATAAATCTGGTCGACTAATGAAGATTCCAGAAGAAGCTCCGTCGTCCCCTGTGTATTTCTGTATTTTTTTTCCCTTTTGCCTTTTTTTTTTTGTTTTTACTGGGCAGTGTTTTTGTGTTCAAATTTGAAGGCAAATGAATTAATGAAATGTTAGCAGTTTAGATTTAATACAACCAACAGTGAACATGAAAGTGTGGCAACAACAGGCGCCTGCTTACAATTTCTGTCCTTTTTTTTGTTTTTCTTGTTTCTCTTCCAGTGTTTTAATTCCATATCATTTTTGGTCTTTTTTGTGTGGTTAAAGTTCGTCCTTACTAACTTTCAATTTTTTACATTAATATTAATTACGCAATCTTCCTTCAAAAAAATTAACTACGAAGTTCGTAATTATACGCCGTTCTCTCGTGTCCCAGAAAATTGTGAGACGAATGAAGTGTTATAGAATGAGGTGTTTTTTTAGGACTTCATTCATCCACATTTAACTCTAGATTTAATATTCCAAACTCTATTTATTTGATAAATTTTAGTCTATTTTTAATAAAATGGACTTTATTCTTTTTTACCTAAATGTTGTCCTCCATTCAAGGGCGCTAAGCCACAATATTGGCTTGAAGGGATTGTCCAAAAATCTTCCAATGTCCATACTTCATGTACTCCGAACTTGTCATAAGATGCAAAGTAGGGTGTGAAGGACTTTGTGGTTCAATGATATTATTGTGGTTATTTCAAATGGAAAATCACAAGTTCAAATTGAATGAGGATGTTGACTCTTTGTTCTTCAATATGTTGATAGAGTATGTACATACGAATACAAATCACAACAACAATAACCCAGTTGGATGCACGAGAGTAGGGTCTGGGGAAGGTGTGTGCACGCAGATCTAGCCGCTACTCGAAAGTAGAGTCTGTTTCCAAGAGACCCCGGTTCAAGCTGCATATATAAACCAATCACATTGGATACATAAAACAAAGAAAGCAGATACAAAGCACATATCTACATGCAAGCAAGAAACTAGAACTAACTAAAGAAGAATAATGTACGTCAAAAAAAACCACCTAGCATAGAAGGCAAAGAAAGCACACAATACATGAGACTACCCCCCTAGCCCGAAGTGCCAACCCAACTACTCTAATACTAGTTCTTCAAACGCTCTTATCTAACGTCATATCTTCAGTTGTAATAAAGTTAGTAGTCTTAAGAAAAGGATGGAACATAGGGTACTACTATCTAGTTAAGACTGTTTTTTATGTTAATATGAATATAAATTTTGATCCGAAAAAAAGGAATTGGTTTAAGATATGTTGATACATTTTTCTCATTTCTTGAGCCATATTTCTGACCATTTACTAACCCCTAAAAGCTTTAGCCTTATTCATGTTGCCTTACCTCATTTTATGGCTACCATTGTTTTGGATTTTTTGAGAGAAAAAATTCAATCAAGCTATTTCAAATTAAGCTCTCTATTAGACTTTAATTTTCATGATATTTATAATGAAATGTTGAACATAAAAAGTAAATTTCCATGCCAATAAATATTATTATAAAAGTATGATACATTAAAATTACATTATAAAACAAATTTAATGATATTAAATTCATAAAATAATTAAGTACTACAAAATTTTTGGCTGGTTTTCATTTTATAGGGAGAGTACATTTTTAAGATTTTTGGTCCAAGGTAATCAAGACAAATCACAACATTTGAAAACGTAACAAAAAATAATGACGTTAGGCTATGGGGGTATGAATGTATGATTCATGCCATCCACTAAAATAAAAATTAAAACTAATAAAGTACAATAATTAAAGGCTAGAACGATATGCTAAAATAAATACATAATCGGGAAAAACTAAAAAAATAAAATACTAAAGGGTGGGAGTGCGGGAGGTAAATATCAAAATCAATTAGATCAGGTAAAGAGAGCATACTCTTACTTTGTATGACATGCAATGTGATACTATGTATTTATTTTAGCAAGAAAACTATTTTCAATTAGACTTTATCTTGGGGACTAATTTTGAGAAAAAATATAAGTTTTAAAATCCTTTTGACGGTTGTTAATTGGAGGAGACTAAACTGAACATTGTTATCAGTTAATGAGTACCATCTCGGTAATAAATTTATCTTCGGGGCTATTTTAGGAAAACACATAGTTATCTAGTACTATGTTGGGAATTTACTCACCTAAATATAACATGAGTAATAACATCAAAAGAACTGGACTCATTTATGCATTGTGTCTAAAATATAAAAACAAAAATTTCTCCTTTTGTCTTAAAACTAGGTGTGTTCAAAAATATCCGATCCGAAATATCCGTCCACGATCCACGCAGATTCGATCAGAAAAATTGATATCCGATCCGATATTTTAGCTTTCGGATATTTCAGATCGGATACCTAACAAAAATTGGATCGGATATGAATTCAAATTCTAGAAATTTTTGGATAATTGGATATCCGATTTTTTGGCTATATGTTTAATGGAATTTTATGGATATATATTATAACTATATGTTTAATGCAATTTTATGTTGATTTTGGAACTCAAGCATTTTGGACTTCTTGCATTATCATTTTGGAACTTCTTGTTTTAGTAGTGCTTTTTTTGGTTTGTTGAGGCCAAATTGCCAAAGTTACTCCCAAATTAAATTTGGTATCATTTTTTTATTCGGCCATTACCTAGTGGTGGAATTTTTCTTTTAGTAAATCTATATTGAATTTGATATTATGAGTTGATTTTGCTATTTTATCCTTTTTTTTTGGAAAATTTTGGCTAAAAAGTCAACTTTTCGGAGAATCCAGTAATTCGATCCAAAAATTTGGCTATTTTATTTTAAATATACCAATTTTTTATAAATTAAATTCAATAAAAAATAACTTTAATATTTTTTGGGTACAAAATATAATATCATATTAGATGCATTTTTATTCATGTTTCTTATATAATACAATTTTATTCCTATTTTTTGGTTTATCATGTGAAATTGAAGTTGTTTTTTATAAGTTATCCCTTTTAGAACATCTGATAAAAAATAACTTTAATTTGTAAACTAAAAACAAAAAAAAATTAAAAGAGAAATAGTAGTGAGTTTTTATTTATTTATTTATTTATTTATTTTGAGGAAAAGTAGTGAGTTATAAATATGAGTGGAGAAGTAAATACTGGTGGGCAACCGCCCGCAGTTTGCGTGAAATGGAAATCCAAAAAGCGGCCCACGAGTGAGTCCCCCGGACGGGCCGCGGTCGACCCATGAAAAAGTCCGGTTCGGGAAGGGAGAGCCGTAGAATACGACGATTTCTTTTTTCTTTTTGATGAAAATACGCGTGACGGGCGGGTCCCACACCGGGGTCTACAGTTACCGAGAAGATTTGGTCTTTCTTTGAATTGGAGCGGGACCCACCGCTTTCGGATTTCATCTGTCCCCTCTCTCTCTCAAATTTAAAAAAATAAAAAAACGGATGGTCTAAAATTGGCATTGAATTGGACTGGGCCCCACGCTCTCTCCCCGCCCGTTACTTTTTTTTTTTGTTTTCTTTTGTTTTCTTTTTTCTTTTTCTTTTTTTGTTTTTTCATCCTCGAAACGTTTGTCTACTTCACGTGTTTCCCTCACACAACACAAACACAAACACACTACTTACTGATCGTTACTCTTTTGAACTCTTTTTTGTTTTGCAACAACGTTTTATTTACGCACCATTGTCCAATTTTTTTTTTTTAAAAAATAAGGTCTCATGTTTGATTTTATTATTATGTATGTCTTGTGACTTCGTAATTTCAGATGCAAATATCGGCTAAAAAACACTTAATTTAAATCAACCTGACACTGACTCTACCTGAATGGATTAACGATGTTAAAACCAAAAATTTTTCAGAATAATTGCGTGCAAAAGAGAATTTGAAAAAAAATGCTTCCTTTGTCTGGAAATTCACTTTTCATTTACCTTATCTTGGTCAAAATTTGGTCTCGAAACAATATCAAAATGCAGTTTATTTTAGTTTGTAGTTTAAGAATTAGGCACCAGTGAATGGTGCCTAATTTTGGAGATTTTGCTTTTTGACCAATTGGGCTAAGGAAAAAGCTTGGAGGGAGTACAATTTATATAAGAGGGAAACAAAAATCACGACTACTAATAATAAAAAATTAAAAGAAAAAAAATTTAAAAACATAAACCGATCGATTAGCTATTTTTAGAGTACAGCCCAAATTCAGATTTGATACCACAAATACTTGTAACAAAAAAAATATAAATAGATGGATTAGCTATTTTTAGACTACTTTAAACCCGGTCCAATTCACATTTTGTAAATCAAACAAAAAAAAAGTCGTTTCTCTAAGATTAACTTCATTTATCGAATTTTTTATTAAAAAAATTAAACATCATATAATAATTTGATAATTAAGTTCGATTCTTTTGAAATCAATTTGTGTATTAAAAAATGGCAATATCAGTTTCAAGTTTTTGCGTTCATGGAGTTGATGGAGGAGTATTTCAAATGAAAAACAACCTAATAAAATTATGAAATCATTATAAATTGGAGTAAAACATATATAGTGAAAGTACTAAAATAAAATTTTCAAGTTTTTATCTCCAACCCTCTACATCTGAGGCGAAAACGNAATGTCCTCTACCGGAGAGCTGGGAGGGCTGGAGTGAATACTCATAATTCTTCAAAAAGCATCACACTGGGGCGGGGGGGGGGTCTAGACTGGGGTCTACCTATCCAAAAAACAAAGGTAGGTGTGAATAATAACACAATGGTTATGTGGAATGGAAAAGGCAAAGTACGTTAACTACTTACTTTTCCAAGGCCCACTAACGACTTTGGCCACACGACGTAGCTCCCCTCACAATCAGCGTCGTTAGTCTCCATGACCTCAGTAGGACAAGGTATGGGATACTCACCCATACCAAGAAGTACGAAGCTCACAGAGACCTTGACCTGGTGGCCTGGAATGGAGGGGAATTGAACACCGTGTATGCGGAAATACCGACCCAAGCACCACTACAAGATCAACTAGATCGGTAATCCGTAAATGACAAGCACTAACCTATGAAAGTAAAATAAAACCATTGTTTAAAAGAAAGAATTTAAAACCTTTCAAGTGAATAACACTTAGCATGGATGCGTGATATACAACACTTGTAAGATGAAACACAATCACCGTGGGAGAGGTGATAGAACTTTGAAACTTTTCATCATGAATTCCTCCATTGCATAATAGAGAGTGA